GGGGGCCCAGGTAAGGCCCACCCCACATAATCAACCACATGATACAGTGCACACACAACATTTGAATGGGAATGCCCATCAACTATTTGGGGGCCCGGCCCCCTCAAATGTTTTATTGTGGGAACCAAAGTCCCCACGGCCCCTAGGAGTTGGCTCCTACGACAGCTGTTATTTTTAAGATGCAAGGCCTGCTTCCATACAATCTGTTCACCGAGCGCCTGTTCTGATTTGTGTGCAGGAAAGTTTTATGGTGTTGTATCAAACAAGAGCTATCCCACACTTTCCAAAGTATTTTCCCATCACAAAAAATCCAATGGGGGGCAGGGCAGGTGTTTGCTCCAAGTGGGCAACCTGAATTTGCTGGTATGCACTGTGGTCTAAACCACAGAGCCTAGGGCTTGCCGATCAGAAGGTCGGCAGTTCGAATCCCTGCAACGGGGTGAGCTCCCATTGCTCGGTCCCTGCTCCTGCCAATCTAGCAGTTCGAAAGCACGTCAAAGCGCAAGTAGATAAATAGGTGGGAAGGTAAACGGCGTTTCCATGCGCTGCTCTGGTTCGCCAGAAGCGGCTTAGTCATGCTGGCCACATGATCCAGAAGCTGTACGCCGGCTCCCTCGGCCAGTAAAGCGAGATGAGCGCCGCAACCCCAGAGCCGGCCACGGCTGGACCTAACAGTCAGGGGTCCCTTTACCTTTAATTGAATCCCGCCCCAAAATATGACCGCTCAGGAAGCAGCTCAAGTCTCTCTAGTCCCCAACCTGGTGCCCCTGAAGACCTTCCTTGGATACCCAAGTATTTGAACACCAGGCAATAGGGGTCCCTGGAGCCCTAAATAACTTCTGCCTCCTAACCCCCCTTAGTGCACCCCAACTTAGATGCTTCTAACTTATTTCCCCATCCCTGGAATCTCCTTAGTTTGCTCTTTCTTTCCTCGTAGCAACCAGGATTCATCCTTTCTGTGGTGGGTTCATCTGGGATAAAGAACACCCTTAGGAGTTATTTCTGTAAATACTACTATTATGCAGTAAGTGTAGGTGGATTTTAAAGACCCCCATCCCCATGAAAGTGTGAAAACTTTGCAAAGAACCTTAGGCATGTCTCCTGCTGTGCAGAAGCTAAAGAACACATTAAGAATTCACCATATAGTTAACATACATTACAATGGTACACACATCTACTTTAAAGTAAGTTTATTTGTGTTTAATGAGGCTTACTCCCAGGTAAGTGGGTACAGGATGGCAGCCTAGGCTTTGTATTAGAGTTGGCATTGAAGGAAAGAGGTTTCTTGTGCCTTTAACAGCTGCATGGGAGGCAGAAATCCAAGAACTTAAGACTTCTATAATATGGAAATATAATTATGAGGATAGCTTCACCATGATAGCACTCTCTCTAGTTTTGTGTTACGCAATGCCCTCGACAGCATCCATGTTGCGTTGTGACGTGCTTTCCATGACAATCGTTCCGTGACCGGCACCCACAGCACTTTCTCAAAATTGAAAGCATGGCCATTGGTGCTGAAGGGTTGCAAACCCCAATTTAGAGGTGCCACACTCCATATTCTGAAGTGTATATTTGCCCCCAATCCTGAGCCACTGTTTTGAATCTGACTTCTCTTGTCTTGGTGGACTTAGAGGTTGCAGCAAGAAGGAAGAGAGAGGATGAACCTTGCCCACTGTGTGGCTTGGGTCAGAGAGACCCATTTTCAAATCACTGGGTAACCTGACCATAGTCCTGCTACTCCCCCACCCCTCACTGAGCCTACCTCACAGGGCAGTTGTGTGTGCATGGTGGGGGGAGATATGAACCAGTGTGTGAAGTCCTGGGTTCTTTGGAGGGAGGCTGGGATACAAGCACAATAATCTCAGATAAACAAAGTCTGAATAAACAGCTTCTAAAGTAATCTTGGGTATTCCACATTTGCATAAGCTAGCATATAATGTACCCATTTCTGCCACCAGGCCTCTCCCGGCTTGGTACAGTTCCTCTCTCCCCACAGGATTCTGAGTTTTTAGAAGCGCAGGCAACCATAGCCTTGAAAATACCCTTCAAAAATTAAAGGATTGAATTAATGTAGGAAATACTGATTCGGGAAAGAGGCTACGTTTTCCCACTAGTGAAAGTTCTCTTCCTCTGCCATAAAAAGGGCTTATGATTCTCCCCAATTAAAGAGCTGTTGGTGTCCCCTCCCCCACCCCTTGCCACCTGCAAAGTTCCTATTTTTCAGCCTTCACGGGAGAAAGACATCCTGTTTTTGTGTCCCTTTTTGCCTTCTAGAGGAGACTCTATTTCCTAGTCATTGTGAGCTTTTTTACTTTGAAATTTCTCTGGCAAAGGAGATACTTGGCAACTTTGTTAAGACTGTTCCATCAGTCTCCTGGATCCATTAAACCGCACTCTCCAACTGCACACCACCACCGACCCAAGATTACAACAATCATAGAATTATAGAGTTGGAAGGGACCACTAGGGTCATCTAGTCCACCCCTGCAAAGCAGAAATCTTTTGCCCAACATAGGGCTCAAACCCACCACCCTGAGATTAAGAGTCTCGTGCTCACATATTATGTCACAGACTCAGCAACCCTGTAGGGTAGGACAAGACCTGCCAAGAAAAACAAAGAACTTATTTATGTATCCTACAACAGCGGCAAGAGTCTTGATAGCACAAGGGTGGATGAATGAGGAAATCCCAACGAAAGAAGAGTGGCAAGAAAAATTGATGAGCTACACAGAGCTGGCTAAATTGACATACAAACTGCGGTACAAGGACAACTGCGACTTTAAGGAAGAATGGGAGCTTTTTACAATTTATCTAAAAAGACAACAAAATGAATTGGACTCCTTGGCAGGTTTTGAATAAACATACACAAATTTATTAGTTGATAACATGGTAGATAGATAATGTAAGGATATGTATAATTTTATAACATGCAGAGAATAATATGTGCTGAGAAATCAGAGAGAGGAGCTGAGGGAAGTCTCGGGGGGAGAGGGTTTGAAGGGGGGAAAGGGGAAAAAATAATGAATATGATATGTTTTGATAATTTGTTATGTTGAAATTGTTAATAAAAACTTTTTTTAAAAAAAAACAACAACCCTGTAGGGTAGACCCCATACTGCAAATTAAGGAATTGTGGAATCGTAGAGTTAGAAGGGATCTCAAGGGCCTCCTAGTCCAGCCCCCTGCAACGGTCATATTTGCAATCCTGGGATCTTGGAAAATGTTTTTATATTGCAAACAAGTAGCATGCCTAACACCAGCAGATAAACTCATGGCAGAGTTAAGATTTGAACCAGCAACTTTCAGATCACACACCTCAGCCATTTGGCTCCTGTTCTACACCAAAATCAAGGAGACCCACAAGAGGTTTAGTGGTGTCAAAACTTTTTTCAAAGAGGGCCAGATTTGATGAAGTGAAAGGCCGTGAGGGCCGGCCAAAGTTGTTAACCTTTTTTTTTACGGATTGAAATTGTTGAGGGTTTTTTTTTTTAGGATTTTATCCCAGGAAAGAAACCGCCACAGGGGCTACATTAAACCAACCGACGGGCAGGATTAGGCCCCCGGAACGGACTTGCCTGATATTACACACAACAAGTGGTGGTGAGGCATATTTAATGTAGTGCTTTTGTGGACCTGTGATTTGAGAACATGTGCGACCAGAAAGTATATGTACAAAGGTATTGGAAAGGGTAACATCTGAATGTGTGCACTGAAGGATGAGAAGCATGGATTTGTGTTAGGTGCCGTGGGCATGTCCAGACGACTTTAACCCATTTTAAGCCCCGTTAATGTCTATGGGAGAGTTAGGCACGTGCTCAAACTTCTCCCAATGGGAGTCCACAGTACTTAGGGCTACATTTCGCTGCTCTCTCTCTCGGGTGCTTGAGTTTCCTGATTGTAGGCTGCCCCTTGCAAACAAGAGCAAGGCTGCATCTGGAACACCCTCCTAAAAATAAATTTAAAAAATACAGCCCCGACCAGCGAACGATGCCCTTCTTTCTCCCTGGAGAGCTAGAGGTTTTTAGCAGTTTCTCGCCGCCTGGCCCTCGCTTTCCTCCTGCCTGCAAAGATCCGTCTGGCTGATGCTTCGCGTTTGCTCTCTTCTCTGCTCTCGACGGCGGGCTCCCTTCCCAAGCCAAATCTGTTTCGATATTTCAGGAGCAGCAGGAGGAGGTGCCGAGAGAGCAGGGCCCCCCCCGCACCCCAAATCTCCCCCCGCTCTCTGATCCCTCTGCGGTCGAGTCAGGCGAGACTTAACCCTTCCGTCGCCGGCCCTATCCCAGCCGGAGCAGCTCTTCGCTCCAGAACAAGGCGGCGGCGGCGGCGGCAGCAGCGAGAAGTTCCTCTCCGCCGCGCCAGGCAAGAAGCGGCAGCCGAGCCGCAGCTCGAGAGAGAGAGAGAGATCCGCGGCCAACCCCCCCGTCCGGTGCGAGGCTCCCGGGCCAATCAGGGCCGCGCAGGGAGCCCGAGCCAGGACCCCATTGGCCGCGAGAGCCGCATCCCTCAAAGCGAGGCGGGCGGCGGCGGAGGGAGGCCGGCAGCCTTGGGCTCTGCGAAGCACTTTCCGCGAGGGAGCCGGCAGGTGAGGCGCTCCGAGGTGGCGGCGGCTTCGGCGGCGTCCAGGAAGAGCCGCGGCCGCGCTCAGAGCCCCAGCATGGGCGGGGGGGCGGCGGCGCGCCGCGGGGCCGGGGCTTGCCGCTTGCCGGGCGCCTTCTCCTCCCCGAGTCGGGGGCCCCTTCTTCCTCCCCGCGGAGCCCGAGGGAAGCAGCAGGTAGGGAGCCAAGGAAGGAAGGAAGGCGCCGGCTGCCCCGCCACTCCGCCCCAGCTCCGCCGTCCCCGCCCGCCCGCCCGCCCGCCTCTCCCGCTCTCCGCCGGAGGCAACCCCGACGCTCCGCGGGAGCCGCGCCGCCCGGGATGCGGACGGGCAGCGCCCGCGCGGCGGCCCGGCGGAGCCTGCGCCGGCCAGGACCTCGCGGGGCAGCTGCCCAGGGCCGCCGTCGATGCCTCCGCCCGTCGCGCCGAACTTCTCCCGGAAGGCCGTGAGGAGGAGGAGGAGGAGAGCCAGGCGGCGGCGGCGCCGGGATCCCGCGCTCGGCGGCCTCTCTGGATTGCGCCGTGGAGTCGCGCCTCTCCGCCGCCTTCCGCGCCGTCCCTCCAGCGCTGCGGGGTAAGTCTCCAAAGTTCCTGCGAACTCTCCTTCGCCGGGGCTGCGCGGGCTGGGTCCGGCGGGGGGCAAAGAGGGCACGGGGGGCACCTCATGCGCGGGACAGAGGAAGCGACCTGGGCACCGTCGGGGCGGGCAGCGTGGGGTGCCTAGGGATGGCGCACCTGTCTGCCTTGGAGTCCCAGGGATGGTGCCCCCAGCAAGGGGGGGGGGGCGGGCAGCTGGCAGGGCTCTTGCGCAGCAGCACCTGCGTGGTCCGAGTGCTCCCGGAGAGGCTGGGGATCCGGCCGTGGTAGGGATCGGTCCGCAGTTGGCTGCGGGGGATGGGGGACATGCCGGCGGATCGAGTCCACGGTTAATTGCCGCTCCCGTTTAGCTGGCACCCATCCCCAGCCAGGTCTGTGTCTGCAGGGCATGTTTTCCATTGGAGGTGGGGGTGGAAGCAGGCAGGGAATCTGTGTTGGGGGGGTTATCCACCCCAGCCCCATTCTAAGATTGATTCCTATTTGCCATAGGGAAGAAAGGAGGGTGCAAGCACTTAGTTTCGCATGGAGCTCAGAGCCATATGTGAAGGCTCAGTCGTGGCACCTGTAATCATGAGCGCTTGTGAGCATGAGCAGCGTGCATGTCCATTACCAGGCCAGGTAGCTGCAGCCTCCATCTTCCCCCCCTGGGATGATGGGTTAGGACCTGTCAGGACCTGAGGGTGGGGCATGCTTCCAGGTGAATCTTGAGCCCTAGCATCTTCGGTTGTGGTGAGGGTTTTGGCCATTTTTATAGCTCCCAAACAAATTGTAATGGAAGTTTGGCCAAATGAAATTAACTTTTTTCCCCCTCCCAGAAGGGGCAGTGGCAGAAAGGTTGGTTGTTAGCCCTTGAACATGTGGCAACATGCAATTCATGAGTTCCACATTCTGAGTTTCAGGGCTGCTAATTCCATCTCCTTCCCCTAAGATACCATGTAAATCAGCCCTTCCCAATTCAGTTCAGAAGACAGAATCTTCCTTCCCCATCAGCTCACCCACCCTGCAGTGCTCTTTGCTGACAAAATAGGATCCACCAAAATATCTGCTTTCAGTTAGAATAAGAAATCTCCCCTTCTTGTCTGCTAAGGAAGTAAAACCACTTGGATTCTACAGATTTAACCATCTTTTGTATCCCTCCTCCACCATGCCAAAAGATCAGACGCCCTGTTCTGAGGAAATCCTGGGTCTAATCTCAGTAGATACCCCTCTGTCCTGAGAACAGCCACCTCCTGAAAGCCACAGTTGTGGAGACCATCGATAACAATTCATTCTGCAGGCTAGCAGTGAGCATAGTTGATAAGCAAGTTGGATGAAATGTATATATTTTATTGCCCATACTAAATTTACACCCAACATTGCACATTAGCCCTCTCTGGTTGTCGGCAGAGAATAAGAGAGCAATAAAGTCGCCACGCTTGATGTTAAAATTCTGAACATGGGAGGGTTTTTTCTTGTTTTAAATCAGTTGTTTTGTGTCTGTTTAAAAAGAAGCTCAAGTTGTTGGCATGGCAATGTGAATGCAAGCTTTGTGGGTTACAGGGAAATATCCGTTTTAAAGTGGATATTCATATGGTGTTTGGCAGGGCTTGCCGCTGGACTCCATGTAAGTTCCTTTCTTAATTGGTTTGCTCAGTACCAGATCAGCAGCTCTTATTTCATGTAATGTAAGGATCATTTCACACATTATGTAGACTAGGCATACCTGGGCTTGCCACCAAGTACAGACTTAATAAGAAGACAAGGCTAATAACCGTTCCCTGATGAGTACACCTGGATGATATAAATACTTGACAGCACACTAAGAACATCTTAGGTGTATATCTAAAAATGTGTGAAGTGGTCACATTTTGTTAAACCCAGAGCCCTGGTGTTCGCTTAATAGGGAGGTGGCTTGCATCCTTCTACTTTCGGAGGGGATAAATGTAAAATGAGAGTAAAGTACACATAATAACATGGGTTTAGTTGGCTCCAGTGGGCATTTTCAATTAATTCATTAGGCTATTGTTAAGCATAAGTGCTTGCCGTGGTGTGGAGTGGTTGTTTTGCTTCCCTTCAGACCAGGCATTCTGTTAAGTATGAGCTTAATGGAACGAGGAGAGGTGGGTGGCTGTAAAGCTCTCCTGTGCTGTTGCAGGTGGAGGGAGGGCAAAGAGTTCAAATACCCTGGTAGCCAGGATCTCCCAAAGCAAGGGCTCTGACGCCCCGTAGCTGAGAAGTGGGAGGAGAGAAGATGGCAGATGATGTCAGGGAGGAATTTTGGCTGCCTGCTTCTTTCCCTAGCCGAAAGTATGTGAGAGGGGCAGACAGTGCAGTAAGTCTTGTTCTTGTTTTGTCCCCCCCCCCCCCGAGCTTTTGAACATTCATGAGCTATAAGGCAGATATTCAACAGGTGATGTTTTTCAGCATGGAGATGCAGGTGGAGGTGTTGAACTTCGGTCTATTGTGTATCTAGAGTTAAAGGCAAAGAGCGGGGTGGGGAAAACAATATGCGATGGAAACCAGATATTAAACCAGTTCTGCGTGTTATCAGGTTAGGGGTGTTTAATGCCAGGGTTCATATAGGCACAAACTTTCAGCAAGGATTTTGGTTTACCTTTTTGGTGAAATAAATGGTATCCCTTGTTTATAGGTATTGCAGGTGTTGGCGAATCCCTCTAAATAACTGAAGCAATGAGAGAAATGGGTACACACCCCAATTCTGCCACGACCAAATCAGTTGTTTAATTCTTCCCTGTTCCTTAATAGCAAGGGTGTGTGTGTGTGTTGGTTTGTGTGTTTTTTGTTTTTTTCTAGTTTATATTATGCATTTTGTGTATTTATCTTGTATTTGTATGCTGTAAACCTCCCTGAGATCTACGGGTGAAGGACAGTATACAAATTTAATAAATAAAATAAAATAAAAAATAACTGGCCACTTTGCAGTTGAGGGTGGATGACCTACGGCTTGCAACAGTGCAGCATATGTGATTATTCATCACACACACTTTGTGTGTGCGGTAGAGTAAAGCTGACCACTCTCTCATGGTTTTCTCTGCTTCCATGATGGCTTTGGAGACGGTGTAACATTTACAGACAGTAATAAAGCCTGCCAGTTTGACAGAGAATTCCTTATACATTGTTGAATCTGGTCTTGTGCCCCAAAAGCATTGATTTATCTGAGGGTAGGTGCCCTCTTTCCCCAAACTGCACAGGCCTGAGGTCTTTGTAATGTTGTGTGATGCACCCCTTCTTTTTCAATTACCCATCCTCAAACACAGATATTCCCCCTCTGGCTCTTTCTCTTGTACAGTTTCTGACTGCTGTTCCTCATATTCTGGCTTGAAAACTGCTGGCTGATCCAGCACCTGGGACAAATGTCTCATCTGCCAAATAGATGAACCGGGGCCTGGTGTTACCATCAGTTGGACTTGTTTGGTTCCAAGGGCCACATTTGACCTCGTTGCAACAAGGAAAGCTAATTCTCAGGACTGTTGCAAGAGCATGCAAACTGCACAGACCTCTATCACAGCATTAGAAGCAAGAGGAGGAGCACCCCCATACCTTGATAACCTTGTAGAACGGAGAGCCCTGGGTGGAAAGGCTCCTCTCATCCTTGCATGACATTCAGCACCTGCCAAAATTCCTATTTCCCCATAGTTATTCATTCCCATGCAAATTCTCGTTCTCAAGTTAAGCCGCCTGCTGCATCTCTGATTGGTTCACTGGTCCTTTACAATGACAGCCTCTGTTGGGGCGTTGGCTATTCTGACACAGTCTTGCATTGGCCCTGATTGGACGATTCAGGCACCCCAGATGTGTAAATGCAACAGATGCCTACAAAGAAAGGCTGCTTGCTGTATCTCCAATAGGGAGAGATGCATATATTTAATGGGGGCTCTTGCAAAAACAGTGGTGCACTGAAGGATGGACCTTCTTACACACTCCAGAAATATTTTCCCCAAGATATAAGCGTATAGCATGCATTCAGTTTGAATTGAGAAATAAATAGTTTTCAGCTATCTGTACTCTATGAAAAAGTGCACCAATTGTTCCCTGGCAGTTTATGGCTTAGGTCTACTGAATTACTACACCAAAGTGTGCTTACTCTTCTCTAGGTACAGGGACCAGATGGATGCCATTTTTGGATTTCAAGAGGTGGGGAGCCACATTCAGCAAGATCCAAAGGCTTTGTTTTGGATACATTCAAAGATGAACTGCTTAGTCAGTATATAGGACCATTTATTCATTATAGCAATTGTGACTTAACGGGTAGATGAGAGATATAGGTGATTGTGGTCTGAAGCATCAGGGTGGGGTAGGGTCTGCCCACACCTTCAGTGGTACCTCTGGCAAAATGTAGTGTGTGCACATGTCTCTTTTTGTAAGCATCAGTCTCTTGTCAGTCTTAAATAGTCTGGGCTTCTCAGCTGTGAAAGGTGCAATCTGGATAATAATAGTACAAGGGTGTCTAAAAGTCATAATCAGGTTGACAATGACAGCCCAAAATGTCAATAATAATAATATGCTGCTGCTAGATTGTTACACACACACACATTGTATTACAGATTTGGAGCTCAAGCCACGTGGAAATTCTACTGCACAGTTCTCATCGAACAGAATGGGAGCAATGCAAGGTAATTCTCACTCAGGACAATGGAGCTTGTGCAGGAGAACTCCTTCGTGGATTGTGCTTCCATCGCATGAACACCGGAAAAATGGACAGTGTTAAAGAGGAGCTTAAATGTGCAGATCATTAAAATACTGGCCTACAGACCTGGCTGTTCATATTGCACTCCCTTCCACCTCCCAGTCAAATTACGCATCAAGAGAACTCAGGTTCTGCAATTAATAGAAATATTAATCAGTCAGATGTACAGTAAGTGCATCTGCCAATTTTACATGGGATCGTTTTATTTATGCTTTGTTTTGAATCCCCTATCTTTGACACCTTCCAGCAAAGAGCACAAAGGGGTAGAAATCTATGTAGAATCTGGATAGTCAAGCGTTCTACAGTTGGAATGTAATTATGAACTTAAGTAACCCCTTCACCTTGAACCCTGGAGCTTTTTAAGGCTCTCCTATGGGTGCCTTGGGCCTGTGGGCCACAGGTGATCTTCCAGGCCAACTCTTGGGAGTCCCTCCAGGCCATGCCCACCCCCCCGCCCCACCCAGCTATGATCCTCACCAATTTGGTTCTGCCACCCTCCCCAAGTGCTTTTGCTTGGCTAAATTTGTGTCTTTGAACTGTGATGACAACATGCCTCATTTGCCAGGATGGAGTTACCTGTTCATAGGGTCTCATGGCAACATATGAAGCTGCCTTGAACAATCAGTCCTTTTAGCTCAGTATTGTCTATTGTGTCTGGCCCAGTATACCTGAAGGAGCATCTCCACCCCCATCGTTCTGCCTGGACATTGAGATCCAGCACTGAGGGTCTTCTGGCAGTTCCCTCACGGCAAGAAGCGAATTTAGAGGGAACCAGGCAGAGGGCCTTCTTGGTAGTGGCGCCCATCCTGTGGAACGCCCTCCCATCAGATGTCAAAGAAATAAACAACTACCAGACTTTAGAAGACATCTGAAGGCAGACCTGTTTAGGGAAGCTTTTAATACTGGATGAATCTTTGCATTTTAATATTGTGTTGGAAGCCACCCAGAGTGGCTGGGGAAACCTAGTCAGATAGGCGGGGTATAAATAATATATAATATCTCCAGGCAGATGCTCCGCCACTGAACTAAGACCCTTCCTCAAAAGGACCTCTACAGAAACACCTGGTTTTCGTACAGCTGGAATGTTATATTTCTTGCTGTGTCCACAGTTTGGCCTGGCCCAACACTGGTCTATGCCCCTCCAGGACGTTATCCATGAGGGAATGTCACCCTCAGGCTAAAAAAAGGTTTTCTGGCCTTGTTGTAAACTTAAAAAAATAAATGCAAGTGTGAGGATAAGTAATTGGATTTTCTGCTAATCAACATTCAATCTTTGGAGAATTCATATTGTGGGTCATTCACTAGATAGTGAACAAAGCTTGTGAGATAACGCAGGTGGCAAACAACTCTGTTTATTGCATTAGTTTATTCAGCTGGGACAGGAGAAATCATATAAAAGTTTAGCTTTGAGGCAGACAAAACAGAGACTCCCTACAAACTGTAGTTGTTCTGTAATATAGGATGCCAACAATGGGATCATGTGCTCCCTGCCTCCCCCTCTAGAGTAAATCCCCTCTATTCTCCACCTGTTTGCACTGCCTGTTTTTTCTCATCCTATGTGCACCATGGACATGCTTTTAAATAGCCCCTAGTCTCTGGTGCTCATCTTTGGAAAACCACACTTGGCCCCAATTTTCTCCCTTTTAGGGAGTGCCTTCTTAACGTTTTGTTAGGGTAAGTTGCTAGCGTTGTGTTGTTCTCCACGGTTCTGCTGTGGGGTCTCTATATCTGCAAGTGGGTTGGGGGTCACTGAGTTGACTAGAAATAGTGGTGCTCTTCAAGAATCACATGGGGTCTCAAGACAGAAAGAAGAACAAAAGTGATCTCCTTTGCTTTCTCCAAAAGGAACCCCTTCCCAGATGAGAGGGAGCAAGAAGGATGTGGCGGGAAACTCTGGTTCAAATGTTTGCTTGCACCATCTCTCTTACAGGATTGTGCATAGATAAAATAGCAGGCAGGGAAACCACTCGTTTCTTTATTCATTCCATTTATACCCTCCCTTTTCTCCAATGAGATCAAGGCAGTGGACATTGCGCCACTTTCCTCACAACAACCCTGTGAGGTTGGGTAGCTGGAGGGACCATGATCATCCAGTGAGCTTCATGGCTTAGTGGGGATGTGAACCTGGGTCAGTCACACTTGACTCTCCCACCTGAAATCCTTAGAAGAAGGGAGCTTAGGAATACTTACCATGAATGCTTAGGGTGTTGATGTAACTGCATGTGCTCAGGTGCTGGCATTAGAAGTGCATGCTACTCTGTTGGCAGGGAAGAGGCAAGGCCCAGCAGCCTTAACATTATTCCCTCGCGCTCAGGCTGCTGGTATTTAAATGAACTGGCATTTTTCTTTCGGAAGAGGCAGCTCGGAATGGCTCCATCGCCTTCAAAACAAGATGTTTACGGAGCATTGCCAGAGGGCAAAATAAATGAGTTTCCTGCGTCATCCAACTCCTTCCTATCCTCTCTCAGGAGGGACCAGTAATTCGCTGTGGAGCTTTCCATCCCCTTGGGGGAGGTGTCAGGAGGCCCGCTGCTCCCAGGCACGCAAACAAGAGCCACGGCAAGGCCAGGGGAGTTCAGGGTTCCCTGGGCTTTCTAGGATGAGACGCTGCTCCTCAGTTCATCCTTGGCATGATGAGTGCATGCGTATAACCTCTCTCTCTCTCTCTCTCTCTCTCTCTCTCTCTCTCTCCACACCCCACCACTTTCCCTCTCTTTTGGAAAGACAGCATATCTGTGTGGCCCACTGTATCCCTAAAGCTGTGTTTACATTACTGCTTGCTCAGGCTGCAGCACACTCCCATTGCTGATGTGTGAAACTGCACACGCAGACATTATCCATCAGCATCCTGTAGCTTCTTGAGAAATACTCCTGTTTGATGTGCTCAACCACCTTCCACCAGTTAGAAAATGGAAGCCACAGCTAAGGGCTGGTCCACACTTCTGCTTGTCTCTTGCTTAGAAAGTATGGGTCTGAGCAAGTTTTTCACTTGACCCACTCCTTCGCGATAGATTGGAACAAACTTATTTTCTTTTTTCAATTTACACCTTTTTTGGATTATATTTTACATGCATTCATCATTTTGCCATAATCTTATATGGACTTCCCAACCTATCCTTCACTGACATCCCCTTTCACCTTCCTTATTTTGCTACATCTCTTTTCCTTTACCCTCCTTCTTCATCCCTTCCCATCACTTACCTCGTCCTGTCTACTGCTGGTCATAGGCTCATCCTACTTGCCAGTTCACCTTCATGCTGTCTTCCTTTAAATATTCTTCAAGGCATTCCCACTTGCTTCTAGATTGGAACACACTTCAGTCCGGGGGAAACTTGGATGGCCATTTGCTCTGATTGAGTGCTAAGGAGCGGTTTTCCATGGGGGGAAGCAGTGGGACAAGAGGAAGCATGGAAAGCCATTAGTTGAGTGTTGTACATTTTAGGCAGCCATTGCGCATTGGCAGAGTGCAGCTTCAGCGAACTGAATTTTTATTCAGGGAAATGAGAGGTAATGGGCATCAGGGAAAGACATCTCTGCCCCCTCCTTCTTGTCTGTTGAGCAACATAAGTTTGCAGTGGTGTAGGGAACGACCTTCCCAGCTTTTCAAGCTACACATGTGTATCACATCTTCAGTCTCAAGAGCGGGGGGCAGAACTTCTCTGTCATGTGCAGCCCAGTGTTATGCATGTTTTCCCCAAAGTAAGTTCCGCTGGTTTGGTTTGCACATTAAGGTCAACGAGGGTGGACTTTGGCAATCTCTCTTAATATGGCACCCTATGTGAGGCCAAAAATGCATATTTCAATTTTTTACCCCCTTAGCTCAGCATCCTGTGGGGGGAACCTCACGCACCACCACCCTAGATCCAGCGCTGATGGTGGGGCTCACTGGGGCGCTGGGTAAACGTGCTGACTTCCAGAAAGAAGACTGGAGCTGTTTTGCTGCTTCCCAGTTTAGCTCAGCAGTGTGTGTTATCCAAAGATGGAAGCTACAGATTGTGTTTAACGATGACAGAGTTTAACTGCAATCTTGAGGTTCAGATGACACACAAAGCCAAACCTTGGCTTAGCTAGAAGAATCTTCAGTCTCCTCCCTGACGAATATACACGTTCACACTAAACCACAGTTTGACTTGATGAATGCAGCCACTGAGCTCTGTGGAACTTATCCTCACAAAAGTGTTCATAGCCTCCCATCAATCCTGCAATGTCAATTCCTGCAGTGCTGTTCCTGTTGGCTCGAGAAAAGGTGGCCAGGTGTGAAAAAGGACAGGCTCTGTCTTGATACTTGCATAGAAGACATAATTTCAGCAGGTATAGCTTACACGGCAAAATGCACTTTCTGGAATTCCCTTTTACACAAGTATTAGGGTGCAGCAACAGCCTGTCCTCTTTTGGACCTTGCAACCCTACTTTGCTTCTTAAGTCTTTGGGGGAGCTTGCTGGGAAAGCTCTTTGGGTGACTTTCAGGGGTCCTCCAGGGCTTGAGGCAGAAGTCTTTTCCAGTGCTACCTGGAGATGCCTGGGACTGAACACCTTGCAATAAAATTCAACAATGGAATGAAGAGCGTAGATTTGCATCATCTTGATGGTTATATTTATATAGTGCCCATCAATCTGCATGACACATTACAGAGCTTCGTAAGCAATAAAGAAATGGACCGGTCCCTGCCTCCGCAGAACCTGCAATCTAAAATGAACGCTGAGGGAGGGAGGGAGGGAGGGAGGGAGGGGGTAGGGGAGGCAAGAAGATGAAAGGATGATTGTGAGCAAATGCAGTTACAGGGATTTAAGCTTAATTACAGTTGGAGAGGAAGGTTAAGGAATTAAACCAAAGGCCTAGGGATAAAGATGGGGTTTGGAGGGGGGAGGGGCACCTCATCATGTCCAGAGAATGAGTTCTTTGCAGAGGAGGCAACAGTGGGGAACAGGCAGAGTTCTACTACAAAGGGACAACAGTTGGTTAGCCAAGGATATCAGAGCAGAGATGCGCAGAATTACAAAGGGAGGCAAGGACTAAGACAGGGTGGAACTTGGTCTCCCGTTCCGTCTTCCAAGCAAAATATGGGGGACAGGTAAACCCCACCTCAAATAATTGATCACAAGACGTGGCACATGCACACCATTTGAATGGCAATGCCCATCAACTTGGGGAGGGGGCACCCCACAAATATTTTATTGGGGGGACTGAAGGGACCTTGGTGTCATGGACTTGGCTCCTATTCTGCCAAGGTAGCCAGGGTGACATGGACGAGCTGAAACCGTTTGACTGTTGCAGCAGCCGTGTCAGGCAGGTTAGGCTGAGAGAAAGGGGCTTGCCCAAGTCCATGCAGTGAGCTTTGTGGCAGCATCAGGATTTGAACTCAGGCCCTTCCTGTTCCAGCTCTCTATCACTATTACACTTCTGTAGCTTTTTCAGTTAATTCCAGTTGCAGAATTTTGGGGATTTACGTTCCATTTTAACAAATAGAATAACCAAACTTTCCAAACCCATTGGATTCTGGAGTTTCTGCTGCTTCTTCTGCTGTAGCCAATGTGTAGCCCTGGTCTTGCCTTTAATAATACCTAAGTGCTGCTCTGATGAATATATTCTACCACATTACAGGGCGAACTGCATTGCTCAAAGCCGCGAGCTGTGCACTGTAATCCCAACAAGTCTTGTGAGCTTAGTTGGGTCTCAGGAACAATCCTTGGGAAAGCTGGAGCAAGGCGCATGATGCCATGCCTTTTGTCGACCAGCAGGGGCCAGCCTTCCCTCTCAGTCTGTGCGCTCTTGCTGTGTCTAAGCATGTTTTTCTGTTAGGAGTTTGCTCAGAAATGGTTTCTTCTGGAAGAAGCAGAAACCTGAAGTGGGTGGGTAGGTTGCTGAAGCCAATCTTTAGCCTTAGGCAAACAGCAGACTTCTTCCAGTCCTTTACTGTCTCCCATTCTATGCATCCTTTCTCAAAATGAGGCTTCTTAAAATTGGACATGGCAATTTTACAAGAACTTGAGACAGTGATATCATCCCCATAACCATTCATAGCATTTGTGTAGCTCTTTATGATATACAAAGTGCTTCATACACCTTGCACAACTTACATAACCTACTTGCAATGGAGGTGGGTTTTCTCAATCCCAAATGGCTCTGGGGCAAACTGAGTGGCTTGCTTAAGGCCGTTGAATAAGTTCATTGCAGAAATCCATTTCAAACTGAGGCTGCCTTAAATCATAGTTTCTTAGCTGCTATACTGTACCAGGTTTCATTTTCTGGACTTGCTGTTGGGTCCTGTTTCTAGTGCTGAGACTCCCCTCCAAGTAGACTCCATTTTACACCACTCAGTTGCATGGAGTCCCTCGACCCTCCATGACTCTTTGCTAGCTGACTGCAAAATAAAATAATTTGAAGGTTAACTTACTCGACTGCAGAAATGCAGATCTAGAGCTTGGCTGGCTGAATTCATATTGTTTGGCCTTTTCTTGTCTGCCCAACACCCGTACCCCCCCAATCTTGCAAAGGCACAGGTAGGGTGTGACCCTCAAACACTTCAGCACCCACTAACCATTTATGAAACAAGCTCTCCTTACAACTGAAAAAGCCCAAGGAGATGGCCTCATCTTCTTCCATTGTGCATCCACAATGTTTTACTATCAGCCTTTGCATAGGTTGTGCTGTGTCTGATAAGTGGTTTGGTGCAAAGAGTGTTCGCACTGTTTTAGTGACAACCCTACTTCTACCTCCTGAATTAACCCATGAAGAACCAAATGGCTTGGTAGTGCAACAAGGGTGGGGTCACATGGCTCAGGTGCACTTGGATGCAACCTGGATATGAGCACAAACTGGGCGCCACAGACAGTGTCATGGGTCAAGAGTTCTGTTTAAATAATGCGAGCTCACGTAACGTGCTTTCGCTCGGACACTCGAGGACGGCAGCATGCCAGGAAGACCCAGCCTTGTTGTGGCCTTCTCACTGACCTGCACAGTTAAGCACATTCAACCACTGGAGGAAGAGAAAACCAGAGCTACATGATATTTGATAGCAGCAGCTGGCAGGATTTTTCAAATAACCAATTACATATATTCAATATGTGTGGCAGGATCCTAAATTGGAGGAAGTGGATGTACTTCCAGAAGATGGGACTTGATTCTCAGAAGGAGCACGGAGGCCTCTAAGGAGAGCTACTCAATTGGACTTCCATTGACTTTTTCCTTTCAACCTAACATACTGTCAGTACCTAAAAGAGACCTTGAGAGCCAGTGTGGTGTAGTGGTTAAGAGCGGTAGTCTCGTAATCTGGGGAACCCGGTTCGCTTTCCCGCTCCTCCACATGCAGCTGCTGGGTGACCTTGGGCCAGTCACACTTCTCTGAAGTCTCTCAGCCCCACTCACCTCACAGAGTGTTTGTTGTGGGGAAGGAAGGGAAAGGAGAATGTCACCTAAGGGTGGAGGTAGAATTCAGTAACAGCTAGTTTTGGTGTTTGCAGGGATGGGGGTTACGCCTCTTCTCCTTTGCAGGAAGCCTTGGTGCAAGCTGAATCCTGCAAAAGACCTGAAAGGGTCTAATTTGAATGACTCCTACCTCTGCCTAAGAATCTTACCAGATGAAGAGAAAGATTGCTTTAACAATAGCCTTTCCCTCCTCCTCTCCTCCTGGCCTTTTTTTTGTTTTTGTTTTTGTTTTAACCATCTAACCTATTTAGGAGTTATGAGGAACTTGGGCATTCCTCTAATAAATGTTTTGGATTTTTTCTTATGGGCCAGCATGGCCACATTTGCTTTTTGTAATTGTTCTTGGGTGTTTTTTTTGAGACCTTTAAAATAGGGGGTGCCCGAGGAGGAGGAGACACAGCGCTGCTGTTGGTGAAACAGCGGGGGGGGGGGGGGGAGGGAGCTGCTTGAATGCTGATGGAGGGAGGCTCATCTAGCAAGGGAAATGAGGAGGATAAATGCCCTCTGGATGTAATTTGCCCAGTTCGTGTTGGTGGCAATGAAGAAATAGGTATAAAAGGAGCAGTTGTGGATGCCAAGATCCAAGTTTGGGGCAAGTACTGTTAGATGAGAGAACCCCAGGAGAGATTTAAAATCACAAAACATGCAGCAAAGTAAAGCGTGGAAACATGGGCTGTTAAACCTTTAAAATATGCTGTGGTGACTTCCAAATCTTCCTTCTTCCCTTAGCATAGAAAAAGACCATTTGTTTAGTAAGTTAAGAATGGTTGACTTACAAACTCTTCGAAGGTTAGATTCATGGGCTTTTCCATACAGCACTCAAAAAAAGTTGTGCAGGCAGTAAAACTTGGCATAGTTACAGTTGTGAAAGTTCCTAAATTATTGGTATAGGAACTCAAGAGTAACTTGTAAGAGCCATGAGGTCTGAGCTTGGAGCAACTTCTCTGATAGCTGGAGGGAACAGAGGTTTGATTATCTAATCCCTCCAATGTGAGCTAAGCTTGGCAGGACAGTTTACTCTACGGTTTTAACCCCTTCATGCATTAATTAGACTTAAGCATGTTGGTTATATGAGGCTGGTTAATCCACAGTTCATGCATCCTGTCAACAATTTCTTTCTCTCCATCAACCCTCTTCAAAACTGCAGTCAATTTTAAACAGCAGAACCTAATACAGCGGACCCTCTGGATACAAACTTCATTTGTTCTGGAGGTCCGTCCGCACCCCAAAAATAATGTTAATAGAGGCACGCTTCTGTGCATGCGCACAGCACGATTGAGCACTTCTGTGCATGCATGCACGGTGAAACCCGGAAGTATACACTTCCGGGTTTGCCGTGGTCGTAACCCGAAGATTCCGTATCCAGAGGGATACGTAAGTAGAGGTACGACTGTAGTAGTATAAAATGAACTTCTGTCAGGTGGTTGTAGCTGTGGCAACTTTCTCATGATGCCTTATTTGCCTTACGTGGCAAACGTGGGGGGCCAATCAGGTGGGTTCTTCTTTCTCACGTCATTCCCAGACAGGCAGTTTGGCCCTGTCCTTGCAGTTGCCTTGTTGCCTGCGGACCTCTGCCGCATGGGATTGCTTTGTGCAAAAGTTGCTGAATGGCCTCTGGGGGAGTTCTCCTACACAAGCCGCCTTCATGAGGCAAGACAGGGAGGCCATTAAAGGTGGTCAAGTGGGAGACAACTCTGAATAGGGTGCAATCCATCTTATCCTTGTACAGTATTCCGGTGGGCTGTACCTCTCAAGTTAAGGTGTGTAGGGTCTGTGTGCAATTTCGGTTTCTCCACGAGTCACCAAAATGTCTTGGGTAAGGAATCTTCAAGTTCTCCTCAACTTTTTTTCTTTATCTTAAGGCTAGCTTTGGGGGCCATTTCAGCACAGGGGAAGACTGCTGCTTCCCCCTCATAAATTTAAGTGGACAAGTCAGAACTCTTTTTGCTTCCTTTAAAATTCCTTCCAATTATTATCCTGGGTGCGACTCTCCCCCCCTTTTTTAAATTAGGAGGCAGTTCTAAGCTGTAATTTTCCAAAAGCTAGGTATGATCCTGCTTCCTTTCTGAAGGTGATAGCACTGATATCCCTGGAGATGTACAGTATACCATGGCACCGCCTGGATTTCCAATTATTAAGGCATTAGCTAATTGTCAGGGCGATTAGCATTGATTTTTGTCATGCTACATCCATTTCCTGAATCAGCTTCTGCAGTCAATTAAGAATACTTTAACCAGGGGCCAGACACCTTGTTGGACATGCAATGGACTGGAAACCCAGCTTGCAAAAAGAAGGGAAGCGCAGTGCGTGCCATTAACTTTATTGCAGCAAGGTGAATTTATACCGCCACAGGCACTGTGGAACAACTGCTCTTGTGCCCCTTGAGGCAAGAAAGGTCTGGCTTCTAGTGTCTCATTTTCCAGCCTATCTCTAGAATTGCCAAGTTGCAACTCAGGAGTCACGCCTGTTCCATTTAGCAGCACTGCTGCAAGAGAAGATACGGTAGTTTGGCTATTCTCTCCTGGCTTAGTTGCTCCACCCCAGACAAACCATCACTGTACAGCTGGCGAGTGAAGCCCCATTCACTTCTATTGTGTTCCTTTCGAGGTGCTATAGCTCTCCCGCCCTGTGGTCACTGTCCTATCTGCAGAAGCAAAGTGGGACGGGAGGGTTTTCCTGAGGATGAGGCACAGTTCCTGGGGCAGAAAGGGGATCAGAGGGTTGTCCCTTACACATCACAAAAAAGAAGGCACAGATTTGCCCCAGGTTTGTATATGCCAATTCACAAGCACATATGCATATTTAGAAACAACCACCATAAATTGAATAGAAATAGAATACATCTCTCCTCTAGTGGGAGAGGCTGGGTCCAGTTGACCTGAGTGCCTGCTCAGTCTGTTGTTCAAGTGCTAAGTACCAATGGACAACTTCAAGGTCATTCCCCCCCTTGCTGGTTCTGCCTCCTGATGGTCCTTTAAATTGGACTTGGGCCTGACAGCCTTTCAAATGAAGGACTGTCCTCTGATAAGTAGGGCACAGTGTCATGGCTGCCCTAATGTGACCGGCAGCAATGGCAAACTCTTCCATCGCACTGGAACTAGTTAAGGTAGGTGGCAGTTGGGCCTTCTGGTCCTGCTTCTTATGCCTGCTATGCTGCCAAAAGAAGAGTCCTACCTGTTCCAGACTGGGATGTGGGTGGCACTGTGGTCTAAATCACTGAGCCTAGGGCTTGCTGATCAGAAGGTTGGCGGTTCGAATCCCCGTGACAGGGTGAGCTCCCGTTGCTCTGCCTTTGCTCCTGCCAACCTAGCAGTTTGAAAGCATGTCAAAGTGCAAGTAGATAAATAGGTACCACTCCAGTGGGAAGGTAAATGACATTTCCGTGTGCTGCTCTGGTTTCTCCAGAAGAGGCTTAGTCATGCTGGCCACATGACCTGGAAAAACTGTCTGTGGACAAACGGCTTCCTCGGCCAGTAAAGCGAGATGAGCACCGCAACCCCAGAGTAGTTCATGACTGGACTTAACTGTCCGGGGTCCTTTACCTTTTTACCTTTTCCAGCAGGTGGAATGAAATGCAGAATGGGAGAAGCTGTTGCTGTACCACTTTTCACTGCCACCGAGCTGTTAAAAAGACAGATGAGATTTCCGGATTGTTCTATTGCATTACTTACACGCATTAGCGTCTTTTTAGTATTGTCGCAACGTTGGTGGGTGGACCCAGTGATGGAGGAACAGCCAGGTTCAGATAGTGTGGCCAGTGCCACCTGGCCTCAGCTAGAGCTGCAGACATGTAATCATGGGCAGAGGGGCAGCTGACCTGCTTGTTTGGTCTGGGCAGGGGCAAGAAGACTGGCACTCCCCTCCATTGGATAGCAGCAGCATTCCACATTTTCTTCTAGATCCTTGTTTTCTCGTCCTTGTACTTTTGTGCTTTCCACCTCATGGTCTTGAACACCCAAGAATCTCAGATGACTTTGCTTTTAGGAATACAAGATGCCACCTGCTTCTTCCATTGCTCTCACCAGCATTAGCTTGCACAATAGTTTCCACAGGCACACCCACCCCTTTCTGGCAAGCTTGCACAAGAATTTGTGTGTGGAGCTGTCAGCCGATATATTCCTACCCCCATCCCCAGGAAATAAACTAGATATGAGGAAGGTTCAGGATAATGGTCCACACCCGTGGAACTATAACATCTGGCTTGAAAAATTAAACGCATGGCTTCCCTGAGCTAGGGACTTGATCTTTCTACTCACCAATATTAACTACACTGCTGAAATTGCAGTAACTAGGAATGGCTTTTTTGGCTGTCATTTAAGAGTGTTATAGTGCTGTAGCAGTGCAATGCATTAAAATAACATGCATCGCAGTGATATAACACCTTCATTTAAGTGGTATTTCAGTTTTTTTTTTTGTTTTTTTTTAAAAGTCTGAAAGGAAAGTGTTTCAGCACCAATTAAAAGATCAATTAAACGTATCTGTGAGGTGGAGAAATGGCACCCACTGCACTAGTGAGAAAGAACATATAAAGAGCCCTGCTGGATCCGGCCAAAGGCCCATCTGGTCCAAAATCCTGTTCTCATTGTAGACAGCCAAATGTCTGGGGGAAGCCCGCAAGTTTTCCTTTGTCTGCAGGAGGCATGGGGAACCTGTGGCTCCACAAGACATTGTTGGATTAAAACTTCCGTCATCCCTGACAGCTGGCTATTGGGGGGTCAAGTCCAACAGCAATCATGTCCTCACATCTGCCCATCCTACCTGTGATGTTGAAAACACCCCACTTCCTATAAACCCCGAAGGATCTGTCATTGTGGGTCCTGAGAGTCGGTGTATCCCACTTTTGCTTGCAAAACAAAAGAACGTGGAAACAAACAGCCTGCTTTGATTTTTGGCCCGAGTTACAGTTGCTAAGGCAGCTTTAAATGAATCCAAAAGTTGCTGAGGCAAACCCTTTGTCAGAGGGTTGCTGCATATTCAAACGAAACCTTATTCAAAGAGAATGCAGAAGTGCATTCTTCAGGGTCGAGTCAGGGCTTTGTACTTGGGTAATACGGCCTGTTTTGAAAGTGTTCTCCGGCCCCTGCTGGGATTCTCAGCTGGAAGCTCTAGAGGGGGGTAGGTGTGCATGTGATGTGTGAGCCCCTTTTGAGTCTATTTGCCTACCACAACCAGTCTGTAATATTGGTGTTTTCTCTCCCACTGCCTCCGGAGGCAGAGTGATTTCATTTTGATTATTTGGCTGACAACACACAACCCGATGTGTGTGTGTGTGTAATATATATATATATATCGCAGCTTCAGGATATATTTCCTGAAGCTGGGAGTTAATTAGCAGCTGCCGGGTAGGAAGAAAGCACACAGCTTGAAAGGACTTGATGATTCAGGTCTGCAGGATTCAGCAATTTGACATTCTAATCCGGCTATTTTTCACCTTAAAGCCCAACCAAGCCAGCAATGAGGTTCTTTTATTGTTCCCCGGCTGCTGCGTTGTTCAACCTTGTCTCTTTTCTGAACTCAAGTTGGGCCATGTGTGGAATTGAAGGCCCTCTTTCCCACAGAGTTTGAAAATGCTGGAATTCTGAATTCACATGGAGTAAGCCAGCTTCTGGTGCCATCATTGTTCCAGTCCCTGGAGAAGGTGGTGCTGGCATTTCATCTATCTGGTTGGTTTCCATTTTTGAAGGTTTACATCTTTTGTTGCGCAATCAGATATGGGATTCTGTTGATGTACCAGCCCTAGAGGAATGGTGGGACCTCAGTATTAATGCCATGATTGCTTTGACAGGGGTGACTCAGGACTTTGTGGCTGCCATGAGAACCATGCAAGTATCACAACCTGTCATTGCCAAACCCATGCAGAAGGACACATTCTTGGCTTTGTTTTCTTAACCGGATGGGGCTGGTGGTCTACAACTGTACAGGAGAAAACAAGCCTGGTTTTAGGAGGCATAGGGCCCCCCAATTTTTTTTTTTAAAAAAGAGTGGAGCAAAGGGCAAAGATCCACTTGTAGATATAAAGGTAAAGGTAAAGGGACCCCTGACCATTAGGTCCAGTCGTGACCGACTCTGGGGTTGCAGCGCTCATCTCGCTTTATTGGCCAAGGGAGCCGGCGTACAGCTTCCGGGTCATGTGGCCAGCATGACTAAGCCGCTTTTGGCAAACCAGAGCAGCACACGGAAACGCCGTTTACCTTTCCGCAGGAGCGGTACCTATTTATCTACTTGCACTTTGACGTGCTTTCGAACTGCTAGGTGGGCAGGAGCTGGGACCAAGCAACAGGAGCTCACCCCGTCACGGGGATTCGAACCGCCAACCTTCTGATCGGCAAGTCCTAGGCTCTGTTGTTTAACTCACAGCGCCACCCGCGTCCCTACTTGTAGATATATTCAGTATTTAAAAGGCAATATTTAAATGTGGAGCTGCCCTTGGGTCTGGTCTGGAAGCTTCAGCTAGTGCAGAATGCTAAGTCTACTAGAGTGGTGATGGGAACAGACTGTCGTCCGCACATGACATCCAGTTTTAAAAGACCTGCCCTGGCTTCCCATCTGCTGCCAGGCTAGGTTCAGGATTCTTATAGAAACCTGCCTCGCAACACAGCCCACTGAACCTACTCTTAGGTCTCCACAGTACTAAAAAATATGTCTCAATGGTCATTATGTGTTGGCCACGCAATTGATGGGTGATTTCATTTCTAGCAGTCTAATCTATTTGCTTCTTCTTTCTCCAAATGTCATCAGATGCACTGGATATGAAATACAAAATACGTTTGTATTGTCATATGAAACGAGCACAGGATTTCCATTATGCTAAAACCCACCAGTAGCTGCAGATAAATGCCTCCAAGCAACAATTGTAAAAGCCCAAATCCTAGCTGCAGCTCATCTCTCCTTGTCATGGGTATAGTTGACACCTTATCCAGGCAAATTATGAGTAGTCCAGCCATTTGCCACATCAGTAGGACAAAAGAAGGTCATCAGTGGACTTTATAGCACCAGCCTTCCTCCTTTAAGCTAGAACTGCACATAAGAGCTTCAAACCCCCCCCCCCCAAAAAAAAGGGCTTGTAGGAAAATAATGTTTTCCCGCTTATACAAATTTGTGCTCTGATTTCTCTGTGCCAAGGGAAATTCCTTATCTGGCATCAAAACAGCGTAAGCATCACGGCAGTGTAAATTGCACCATGCTGACGGAAGATGTATTGTTTCATTCAGCCCTCCAAAGTGGTGAATGCATCATCTGGGGCTTGTCATCCATACAATATTTATTGTCCTCCATTTGGGATACTGCTTCTTATGAGAAGCATATGGACAAAGGATTTCTGTAATGTGTTTCCCACCCATTGTGGACAAGACTTCCAAAATAAGAAGGGCTGGATCAAACAAAGTCATTGCATTAGTGCAGCAACTTCCACTTTCGCTATCAAACTTCCTTTCTCCTTCCACATCTTGGCTGTGAGTCCTGAAAGACCTTTTCCCTGCCTTGCAGGATTTTTTCTTCATCTGGCCTGGGAGGGTGGGGCCCAGACTGACTCCAGCTACAAAAGCTGAGGCTGCTGAACAGACTCTTGGGATGGGGTATTGTTTGGGGGGAGGGAGGGAATTGCTGCTATTAATTGAAATTATTAGTTTTTGTATATTTATTTTAGAGCTTATTATGCTTTATGTGGGGACGCGGGTGGCACTGTGGGTAAAACCTCAGCGCCTAGGACTTGCCGATCACATGGTCGGCGGTTCGAATCCCCGCGGTGGGGTGCGCTCCCGTCGTTCGGTCCCAGCTCCTGCCCACCTAGCAGTTCGAAAGCACCCTTGAGTGCAAGTAGATAAATAGGCACCGCTTTATAGCGGGAAGGTAAACGGCGTTCCGTGTGCTGCTCTGGTGCCGGTTCTCCGGAGCAGCTTCGTCACGCTGGCCACGTGACCTGGAAGTGTCTGTGGACAGCGCTGGCTCTCGGCCTCTAGAGTGAGATGAGCGCACAATCCTAGAGTCTGTCAAGACTGGCCCGTACGGACAGGGGTACCTTTACCTTTACCTTATGCTTTATGTGGAAATCGTTTGATTTGTGTATTTTTTTATGTTTTATTTCTTGTTTATGACTACTTATGTTATGTTGTAATTATGTATTTTTTCATGTTGTGAGCCTCCTTGACCATGGTTTGAACTATGGAAAGGCAACACAAAAATAAAATTATGTATGTATGTATGTATGTATGTGACTCCACACAAACCTCAAATCTGCTTTGGAGCATTGGTGGGACCCTGAGAGCAAAGGGCGGGGTGTTCAAAAGAAGGAAAAGTTCCATTGCATGAGTGGAAATTGCTCTGCTTCTGCAGTGTCTTTGTTAAATACAGTCCAAAGAGTCCATAAAAATCCAAAGACGTGTGAAGTGGGCGAGGGTACTGCCATAGGCTATTTTTTACCACCTTCAGCTTCCTTAAGTGAAACTTCGTTGGACTGCAGTGGCTGTTTACTGCCTTTTGTTTTTCTTTCTAGTAGCCTTCTCCGTGGAATTCATTGCGGGATCGGGAAACACAGCCACAGGGGGAAGGTGTCACTGTGCAGAATGCTCTGAGTGGGGGGGGACTGGTGTTGGACCTTGAAGGCGTCTTCACAGAACTTGCTTTGTCGGGGGTGGCCACTTTGCGGTGGACATGTGGTCCCATTTCCCACATCTCACACACTTTGCCTGCTCTCTGGCCATGTTCTTCCAGCTGCCTGCACTGCAGATGGTGTATTGGGAGTTGCACTGCCTTTAGAGAGGCAAGAAACATGTCGGCGTGAGGTATAGCAACACGACAGAGGCCTAGTTTTCAGGGTCAAGCTAGACCTGTGAAAAGTTTCTGGACTTCTTTCTGTTTTGTTTTGTTTTGAACTTAAATGCAGCTTAGAGGAGATGCCAGGTTTAGTGGAGGGGTGGCGCAGGAGTCGATGTTTGCCCCTCTCACTGTTTTACTGTCAAACTCACTCTCCCAAAGCTGTTTCTTAAGGTAAAGGTAAAGGGACCTCTGATGGTTAGGTCCATTCGCGGACGACTCTGGTGTTGCGGCGCTCGTCTCACTTTACTGGCCAAGGGAGCTGGTGTTTGTCCACAGACAGCTTCCGGGTCATGTGGCCAGCATGACTAAGCTGCTTCTGGCGAACCAGAGCAGCTCACAGAAACGCCGTTTACCTTCCCACCGGAGTGGTACCTATTTATCTACTTGCACTTTGACGTGCTTTCGAACTGCTAGGTTGGCAGGAGCAGGGACCGAAGAATGGGAGCTCACCCTGTCGCGGGGATTCAATCTGCCGACCTTCTGATCGGCAAGCCCTAGGCTCTGTGGTTTAACCCACAGCACCACCTGCTGTCTCTGGGAATACAGCTTATGAGAGAGGAGATATTGAGTAGACCGATAGCAGGAGGGGGGAAAGGTTAAGTAGTTCCTCTCCTACCATTCCTTGATTTAAATTTACAGCCTTCCAATATTCCCCCCCCCCCCCGATTAAAAATGTCAGAAGAGTTTTTGGCTTATAGGTTCAGATTCTGGGCATCCAGGCTGTGCAAATGAGAGATGGGCAGACCCTATGGAAGCAAACAGTAATGCACCTAACCTGTGAGCCAGGCTTGACAATGCGCAGGAGATGAGTGAACTCCCATCATTGTTTTATCAGAAAAAAGCCTTCGGCCCCTGCCCTGAGATTCATTTCAGCATGGAACCATTTAGGAAGCTCGTCTGATATTGTGGGTGGGTGTGGGTGTGCCATTTAAAGAGGCCATTCATGTTGCAAATCAGAGGCTACTTGTCATTAATCCCTCAGCTGAGCCTGAAAATAGGGATCTTTCAATTGGCATTAGAAAGGGCATTTGCTGCTGAATAGAAGTTACTTGTGATGTTAGTAGCAGGATATATTAAATGTTGTGTGGAGCCTTCCATTGTAGTTCCACTCCCAGGTAATTTGCATGAAAAGGCTCTGGTGTGGGAGGACGGTCCCCGCACCCTGCAGTATTGCCGCCTCTCCCACATGCAGAGAAGTTCTCCAGTTGTTCGACCAGAGCTTCTTTTCCCCAGAGACGAAATGTGGGACCATGTGCGTGCAATGCATATGCTATTACCACTGGGCTATGGGTCCTTCCCCTGCCTCCCCACCTGATCCTGCTCTTCCTCAACTCATCCTTTTCTGCCTGGTCCTTGATTGTTCCTCAGCTAGACATCGGGGAGCTCTCTCCAGCAGGCTGCAGCTTACGTGCCATCTGTTGGATTTGGCACCCTCCTCCTTTGCCTTTCAGGCTCCCCTTTGCAGAGATGGCCATACCTCCTGGGGACGGGAGGCAGGGAGGGCCAGTGCTTGCTGTTCTCTTCTTGTCTGCCGGATTCTCAAGTGACCGAGCAGCATCCAACATGATGTCGGAAATATCCGAAGCCTATTTCTAGGAGAACAGATGGGCGTCGTGCTGTGACAAGGGAGAAAGTGCAGCTGGGTGAACAGGAAATATAGGATTTATATAAAAGAGGATAAAAATATATGTATTAGAAATAGTAGAGCGACAGAATCTAGATGCTGCTCTTCATTCTTTAATTTTGACTTGAGGAGGCCAAATTACAGCTCCAAGAATCTGGGCTGGAGTCTGGGGGAAATGGGGACACTCTAAAAACCATACTAATAGGCTGAAATTAAGGAAAGGAAATGCATAAAATGGCTATCAGGAACCATTTCCTAGCAGTCCAAGCCACTAGACCGTGGAATTAGCTCCCTGGGGAAGCAGACGAATCCCTGTTGCTACAGTCGTTTAGAACTGGACAAGTGGAAGCAGGAGGAGAGAGCAGCGCTTGGGGACCAATCCTGCATTAGCCGCAGGAGAAATGGATCAGATCGGGGGTTTTGTTAACCTCTAATTTCTGCTACCCCACCCCCGCTGCTTCCTATTAGTCTGAAATGAAACAAAAATCATTAGCAGACAGATTTTTTTTTTGTCACTGGGATTGGGACTCGCTGGGTCTGAAAGTGACTCAGAGCAGCGTGAGAGTTGATGTGTCATCTGGATGGACCTGATTTATGAGTCTGCTGGTGCTTGTTCCATATTTCACCTGCGCCATGAACTCAGTGGATGGCCTTGGGAAAGCCTTGGGGATTCTCACAGTTCCCCACCTGCAATATGCGCGCAATAATGCCACCTACTTTGCAAGGTTGTTGTAAGGAAGGCAGTGAACATGAAATGCTTTGCGCTCTCTGCAGTGCACTTGGTTCTTACTGTATTGAAAGCAGAAGGGGCAGAGTTGCATATGGTTGGGTGACTCGAGGAAGAGGGACAGGAATGCGGTGCTCTTGATAGGGACTGCCAGCAGGTGCATATTGTCCAGCAAGGTACCTTGGGTTAAGAACTTAATTTGTTCCGGAGGTCCATTCTTAACCTGAAACTGTTCTTAATCTGAAGCACCACTTTAGCTAATGGGGCCTCCTGCTGCCGCCATGCCACCGGAGCATGATTTCTGTTCTCATCCTGAAGCAAAGTTCCTAACCTGAGGTACTATTCTGGGTTAGTGGAGTCTGTAACCTGAAGCGTATGTAACCTGAAGCGTCTGTAACCTGAGGTACCACTGTATTGTGCTTGAAGGGTAAGTGGAACCCACATATTGACCGTATTTACACAAATCTAATGCGCCATCAAATCTAACGCGCACCTCAATTTTCAGAACCTTGAAACAAAAGAAGTATTTGCTGGTGCCATTAAATCTAATGTGCACGCTAATTTTCATGACGTAAATTGGCCAAAAAAGTTCACATTGTATTTGAGTAAATGCGGTATTTTGTTTGTTTGTTTGCTTGCTTGTATGTGTTTTGGCAGAGAGAAGAATGGTCACATGCCTAAACAGCGGGAATTCAGCCTGCCTGTGTGCAGAGGGGCCTAAGCACATGGGGAGCCTCTTAAGCACAGTAAGAGGGAGAGTTGGTGTCATTGCAGTCCTCTTGTCAGCCCAGAGATCTGAAGCCATGGGAGCTCCCCCACCCCTGTCTGCCCCAGAGCCCAATGCCCCCTCCTCTTTCTCCCCTTTCAAATATTTACACACTCTCTTCCTGCTTGGAGTCTGCATCCATGGGGCCTGACCATGGTCCTTTGAGCTTTACTTGCGAGCAAGTCACACTGTGGAGCTTCCTCTCACATGAATGTGAATAGGATTGCAACCTTGCGGTGCTCTACTTAGTACCTGCCATTACCTTCGCCTCTCGCTACCCCTGGTTTTGCCTTCCACCAGCTGCTTGGCTTTTTGCCCCGTAGCCTCTGGGTTCACCAGCTGCCACTGGCCCATGGCCCTGTGAGAAAGCTGAGGGAAAGAGGTGAAATTGGGTAGTTCTACCAACAAGGTTTGCTGATCCCGCCTGTATTTTTGCTGGTCAAAAGAATGCAGATCACTGCATTTAGTGGGTTACCTAATGTGGTATGACGATTCAGTTGTGCAACACCAATTTGGGGTTGTCGTTGTTGTTCAGACCAGGAGAAGTGGGGCAGAATGGAGCTACATCCAAAACCACATGTCAGGGAGGAAAGTCTGGGGTAGTTATTATTAGTTTATCCTGTTTTGTTGTGTCCGCTCCAGGAAAGATTCTAGCTTTGGATTCATCGCTGCCATTCCAAACCTGTAATGCCCAATGCCCAATGTTGAGGCTTTACACTCTCTTTCACCTGCAGCTTCAGCAAGTACAGAAGGCGCCTCTGTGGTGGTAGAGCCCAGCAGAGGAAATGCCTTCCCAAATCTGCTCCAGTGACGCAGATCAGTGGCACAGACTGTCCTGTAAAGGTAAAGGTACCCCTGCCTGTTCGGGCCAGTCTTGCCAGACTCTAGGGTTGTGCGCTCATCTCACTCTATAGGCCGGGAGCCAGCGCTGTCCGCAGACACTTCCGGGTCACGTGGCCAGCGTGACAAGCTGCATCTGGCGAGCCAGCGCAGAACACGGAACGCCGTTTACCTTCCCGCTAGTAAGCGGTCCCTATTTATCTACTTGCACCCGGAGGTGCTTTCGAACTGCTAGGTTGGCAGGCGCTGGGACCGAACGACGGGAGCGCACCCCACCGCGGGGATTCGAACCGCCGACCTTGCGATCGGCAAGTCCTAGGCACTGAGGTTTTACCCACAGCGCCACCCGCGTCCCTTCTGACTGTCCTGTACATTTTGTCTAAAGCAAAAACTGAAGACAATTTTGAAGCTTCCTGGCTGTGCAAAAGATTCAGGGGAATTTCAGAGAAGCGAAAGGAGTTTCTGTAGGACTAGGAAATGCCTGAAGTGTGTTGGAAGGATTGCGCATCACTACTTTGAACAAGCATGTCAAACCAACTGCTTTTCAAGCTGGTGCTTTGTAGTGGCCGAGAGACAGAGATGGATGTAAGAAATCCCCTTGCTCAAAACCTTGCCTCGGCCATAACCCACTAGGCGGCCTCTCGCTGGCCTCTGGGAAATCATTCTCTCACAGCTCCCATTTGCAAAATGGGGATAATAATAAGATCGCCCTACCTTACAAGGTTATGCAATGATAATGCACATGAAATGCTCTAAACACTTTCCAGTGATATATACACACAGACATAAAGCCAAGTGGTGGTGATTTTGTCCTGGAATTGGTGCAGGGGGGCAAACTTTTTCCTTGTACCCCCCTCCCAATTATTTTTAAAAATTCATATGTTCTAATCTTAACATTTCAAAGTCCTTTGGAATAGGATAGCTACCATTTTTTGGTGTAGGAGACTTAACTGCAACGTTCCCCTATGACAAAGGTGGCATTGGAAGTCTCTAGGACTGCATCTGTTCCTGGTTATGCAAAATGTGAGGGCCCTGCCTCCAGGCACCATCATTCAAGTTAAATACTGTATGGTCTGTGCATCCTCCCCCACGGGTCTATGTGGTCAGTAAAAGAAGGAAGTTCCAGCCAAGTGATTTGGAGCAAAACAGCGGTCAGTAGAGCATGCAGTGGCAAAGCAAGGTCAGATGGTACCCGGTGTGGAAAATTTATTGCCGCCCCCCCCACACACATTGAATTTTTTCACCTGCAAAAATGGTTTGACTTTATTTCATACTTTTGGGGGGAGCCAGAGTTGTTGAGCCAATGGGAAGCCTGCACACACCAAACCCGCCCATGAGACCATTATCTTTATTGTTGCACAACAGGTCCCCACAGAAGTAGGAACCCCGAGCATGGGGTGACACCCTCTTTTAAAACTTCCCTCTTTCCCCCAGAATCCACTTAGAGCAGCATTATTGATACATCATCACTACATCACTAGCATGTCGCAAATGATGCGGGTGGTGCTGTGATCTAAACCACAGAGCCTAGGGCTTGCCAATTGGAAGGTCAGCAGTTTGAATCCCCGCAACGGGGTGAGCTCCTGTTGCTCGGTCCCTGCTCCTGCCAACCTAGCAGTTTGAAAGCATGTCAAGTGCAAGTAGATAAATAGGTACCGCTCCGGCGGGAAGGTAAATGGCGTTTCCGTGTGCTGCTCTGGTTCGCCAGAAGCGGCTTAGTCATGCTGGCCACATGACCCGGAAGCTGCACACCGGCTCCCTCGGCCAATAAAGCTAGATGAACGCCGCAACCTCCGAGTCGTCCGTGACTGGACCTAATGGTCAGGGGTCTCTTTACCTTTACCTTTATGCAATTTTACACACATTTTGCTTACCAAGCAAAGCTAAATCAAATTAATCTAACCAAAATATCTTTTGAATTTCCAAGTCATGTCACAACTTTTTTAGAATTTTCAGAATTTGAAAGCTGAAAAAGGCAACATGGCCTACTGCCCCGCAGTAGCCTTTTTACATCAGAGAACATGCATGTTATGGTACTTGCTTTTGTGTAACTGCTGTCCTGTCTAGTCTGGCCTTAAGGGGCTGAGCAAGCTGGCAAGACCCTGCACCCTGGGAGCCAGAGCGGCAGTCATTTTTAGCTCTCCTCATCAGGGATGTGTCTTGCCACCCTACCCACCTGTATTCCAGGCTTTGAAAAGCTGAACTGTGCTGTTAATGAGCTGCCAAGCAAGTGTTACCACCAGCCAAGCAGTTCTAAGATCTATAAATAAAAATTGCAATTTTGAGGTGCTGGCTGGCTGGCTGTTTTCCAAAAGCCTGTATACACTGTATGCATCTCCCCTTTGTGTGCACAAGTGGAGAAAGGGGGGTGGACTGGTAAAATGGATGGGGAAGAGGGCTTTAATGGGGGCTCCAGTCAAACAAAGGAGACTTTTATCTTGGTCCTCAAAAAGGGCACATTTTAAACCAGGCAGAAAATAGATCTGGGTGTGTGTGCGAGAGAGAGGTAGAGATATTCATAGAATCATAGAATCATAGAATCATAGAGTTGGAAGAGACCACAAGGGCCATCGAGTCCAACCCCCTGCCAAGCAGGAAACACCATCAGAGCACTCCTGACATATGGTTGTCAAGCCTCTGCTTAAAGACCTCCAAAGAAGGAGACTCCACCACACTCCTTGGCAGCAAATTCCACTGTCGAACAGCTCTTACTGTCAGGAAGTTCTTCCTAATGTTTAGGTGGAATCTTTCTTGTAGTTTGGATCCATTGCTCCGTGTCCGCTTCTCTGGAGCAGCAGAAAACAACCTTTCTCCCTCCTCTATGTGACCTCCTTTTATATATTTGAACATGGCTATCATATCACCCCTTAACCTCCTCTTCTCCAGGCTAAACATGCCCAGCTCCCTTAGCCGTTCCTCATAAGGCATCGTTTCCAGGCCTTTGACCATTTTGGTTGCCCTCCTCTGGACACGTTCCAGTTTGTCAGTGTCCTTCTTGAACTGTGGTGCCCAGAACTGGACACAGTACTCCAGGTGAGGTCTGACCAGAGCAGAATACAGTGGCACTATTACTTCCCTTCATAGCAGGGTGATGTATGGTAACAGCATTTCATGTGGTTGGTTTTTTTTAATGGCCAAACCTTAGTGAGCATCGGCCCAAAATGTAGGTAATGCTGAGGAAGAATGCCCACCTGTGGTCTGAATGTGAGGTCGCCAACTTCTCTGCCATGCCAGAACGGTGTCCCTGGATTTCAAAGAGCGGCAGTGGGAGGGAGGGAGGAAGCACCCAGTGGACTTGGCAAGCAGTGGGAAGCCCTAGAGGCAGAGGAACACAGACCCAAGTGTCTTGCCTAAGAAGCAGCAGGTAGCAATTTTACTTCCATCACTGCTTAATTTAGTTATATATACTGTTCTGTGTCATAATGTGTTGTTTAAATCGGGGCTGAATGGGAGACTGTGGATCTGGTTCGCAGCACGGTTTTAGCTGATCTCTGTTGCTAATCCTGCCATGTTCAGCATTGTAAAAAAAATAATAATATGTGGCTGTTGTTGCTCAATTTAACTTACAGTGAACACAGTTTTCAAAATGTATATTACAGAAATGAGTGATTGCACACTTCAAAGTTGCATCTATATTGGCTTTTGGACATAATGTCGCAGCCACGCCTGAGTGCGCCCTAGTTGTGTGGACATCACAACTACATGGGTCTGACCTATTAGAGAACTTAACCACTCATGAAAGCACTTTGATTGGATAATGTTTGCTTCTGGAAACTTTACAGAAAGATGCTACAAGAGGTTGAAGTGTGAAATGTACCGTGTAGTTGTTTTCATGTGCAACTTCTGCAGCTGATGTCAAAGATAGCTGCTGTTCTGGTTTTTAGCTTTTTGCTGCTTTTTCCTGGAAGCCTTTTCCTCCATGCAGATTTCAATGAACCCCTTGCTTCCTTCTATCATGACAGGTTGTGTGGCAAAATATATTTCAGCCTGGAAAACAAAGACTCTGATAATGCCAGAGCTCAGAAAAAATAACCATTCAATCTAGCAAACACAGAGAAAGAATAGGAATGCTATGAATAGCACAAGGATTAACAAAACAGCGTAATGGTTTTACTGTTAAATGAAATATAAGTAGCGCTCTCCCTTTCTCTCTCTCTCTCTCTCTCTCTCTCTCTCTCTCGCATGTGTGTGTGTATTAACCCCCCCCAGCAAACATCAGACAATCGCTTAGCTTAGCCTACCTCACAGGGTTGTTGTGCGGATGAAATGGGGAGAAGGAGAACCATGTACACCACCCTGAGATCCTTGGAAGATAAAGATGGTGCATAAATGTAATTAAAAGCAACAACTCTTTTGCCTTTATCATTGTGGGACACCACAAGAAGCCTTTTGCCATGCAAAAGAGTCTTAGTCCTGTGCATTCTCTGCTGCCCCTGTTCTAGGGCAGTGTTCAGGGATGCTATTGCATGGAGAATTCAGCCCCAACAGCGCCTTGGACTTTTCTTTGTGCAGCTGTGCATGGATTTTATGCCAGCGTGCCAACGGCTTTCTCTGCATTGATCCTTGCACAAAGGGGGACAGGGGCCACAGCTGAGCAACAGAGCTCATGGCTTGTGTGCCAAAGATCTCCGGCTCATCTGGTAGCATCTCCAAGATACCAGGCGGCAAGGATGGGCAGGACCTCTGGGTGAAGGGACGCAGCTCAGTGAATATGTGCATGCAAGACGCCCCTGGTTCAACCCCTCAAATCTCCAGGTTGGGGTGGGAAGAGGCTCCTGTCTGAAATCTTGGAAAACTTCTGTCTGCCAGGCTGCCCCAACCTGGTACCATGTGTGTGCAGCTGATGGGGGCTGGTATTGCAAGCATTGGAGGTTGCAAGCCTTGGGGGAATATTCATTTGCTTACCGATGCCAGAATGTCTGTGTTATCACCTACAACCTTTGTGGGTGGCCAATGTTAGGAATGTAGCCATCTCTGTCTGTACTTTCTGCATGTGCTTTACTTTTCTGATTACATCCCGTCCCACCCCACTCCCACCGCCAACCATGTGCTGGTGCACACCAACACACTCCTGCGACTCAAGATAACACTTCAGGCACTTTAGGCTTAATGCTCCCAACGTACAAACGGCGAATTTAAACAGGTACAGGCAGAGCCTTGGGCAAGTGATTGTCAAAAGCCATGGGATGAATTGCAGCAGTTTAAAAGCAACATTTATAAAGGTCATTAGTAATTTTGAATGCTCAGTTTAACCTCATAAAGGGACTGGATTTCCAAGGCACCAGGTTTTGTGAAAACCTCGGTTTTAACTAGACTGTATTGCCAGCAGTAGTATACTAAGAGTGGGACAGTACTGGCCATGGTTGCGACCCGGACAGGGGCAAAAATGTGAAACATCACATGTTATAAAGGCATTAAAATAAATACTGTATTATTCTGGGTTCACTATGGAATAATATTGCATATTTACAAGATGTAGATGAAAAGCTAGGTACTTGGTTGCTCAAAGGCTTAGTGAGGTCAGGAGGTCAGACTGCATTGAATAATTGCAGCTGCTATAAACTCTGAATACTGGTAGTGGGCAAGGAGAGTATGAATCAGGGCTACTGCTTTAGATTCCACAGTGGTCAGATATCTACCTAGTAACTTGTGAGTAGGAGCAGTCATTATCAGCAGTGCAAACTCCAGTTTTCAACAGCAGAACCTGAAATTTTCCTTGAGTATTTGCAACATTTAGGCCACTGAAGATGTCAACGAGGTTGAACTCACTATTTAAGGCCATACTCATTATTTGACAAAATGTTCTTAATGTGTTAAAATATTTGGCATTGTAAACAATCTAGTTTTATTTGCTTTTGAGTCCTTTGTGCATGAGGGGCTTTAAGTAAAGCATTTTAGAATCATCCCCCCCCCCCGACTTTCATATTGTTTTCTAGATTCCATTGGTCAGGAACATTTATCCCTTTGTTTTAGATTCTGGGGGAGGTTATCGAATTGGGAGTCTGTTCTGGATGCAGACATTTGTGTCCTTTTCCTGGGGGCCTGGATCCAAAGAGCTACTTCCCATGGGGTGCTTGTGCTCCTTTAGTGGATTTTATTATTTTTTTGTCCATCCCATACCACAAATTGCTTTTGAAACCCTCAGATTCAGGAGCAGTTTGCCACAAGTCACAAGAGCTTGTTGTTGTTGTTTAGTCGTTTAGTCGTGTCCAACTCTTTGTGACCCCATGGACCAGAGCATGCCAGGCACTTCTGTCTTCCACTGCCTCCCGCAGTTTCGTCAAATTCATGTTGGTAGTTTCGAGAACACTGTCCCACCATCTCGTCCTCTGTCGTCCCCTTCTCCTTGTGCCCTCCATCTTTCCCAACATCAGGGTCTTTTCCAGGGAGTCTTCTCTTCTCATGAGGTGGCCAAAGTATTGGAGTCTCAGCTTCAGGATCTGTCCTTCCAGTGAGCACTCAGGGCTGATTTCCTTCAGAATTTATAGGTTTGATCTTCTTGCAGTCCATGAGACTCTCAAGAGTCTCCTCCAGCACCATAATTCAAAAGCATCAATTCTTCGGCGATCAGCCTTCTTTATGGTCCAGCTCTACATGACAAAAGCAAACCTAAATGGTGGGAGCTGCCCTCTGGGGTCTCGTGGCCTCTGCACCCTCCTGGCATGATTCACCCCCCCAGTGGCCTTTTATTTCCACTCTCCCCTAGTTTCTGATGTAAATCTTCACTCAGTCCTTCCCTGGCTGGGATGGGGGCAGAATTAGGTGGTTTGCCTCTAGTGCAGAAATGCATTGGACCAGCCCTGCAGACAATCCATGGGGCTGGCTATGGGAGCTTGTATGGGTCCTCCTTACGCATGCAAGTGTTTTTTGCAGTATCCACATGATGTCCAGGCCTCAAATTGCCAGCCTGCACTTCTTCCCCCTTTTATCTGTTTTTCCTCCTTTTGCGAGGAAGTTCTATAAGCTAAAAACAACATCATTCAACTCTTGCCAGTGACCTGTTCAAATCATCTCAGCAGGCTGTTTGCATATTAAGCAAGCAACCTGTTTCTAGTCCACATACATGTAGTTTATACTGTGTTCTTGGCAACGCACAAGTGTTAAAGGATTTAAATGTCTGAAAATATCTATGACTAGGCTTTATGCCTAGGCAAATTGTCCAGCAAGTTATAAATAGTTATCATCAACAGACTCCTGAACAAAAGCTCAATTTTTCTTCCTTAGGACCAGATTTTCAACTTCCCATTAGGTTGCCAAAATCAATGGCCAGATGATCAAATTGCTCACTGGGTTGTAAATCTCCCCTTTAAATGAAATAGATTGCGGTAGCTCCTTCCTGGTCCTGGGTCCCGGTTACAATTAAGATGGCAGCAGATACATATTAGACTGAAAATAATGATAAGAAGGATGGTCACTCTGTAAGGAAAATGCAAGAACTGTAACACTCTGATGGGGATGTTCATGAATATGAGCAATCGCCCGTGCAAAATATACAATGGAGACAAATGGGGGGAGATTAAAATAATAAATGTTAATGATGCAAAAATAATGAGGCTGGAGTATAATGTGCTGTACGAGGCATAAGAGTAAGACAAAACTATAAGTAATGAAAAGCAAAGTTAATCCTATAGCTTAATTGGAAATAATTCTCACTTCTAAATCTTACACGCTTTGGTTGTCAGGCTCTGTAGGGTTGCTACCAAGTTTCCCAGACTCCGGATGGGTGGGGTATAAATTATAAATTATTATAAATTATTATTACTTGTTCTTTAATCATCAGTTGGGCAAAGAGAAAAAGCAGCTGGAACTGGTAGTTGTGGGGCCATCTCTTAAGAACAGTGGTGTGAATCTTTGGTCTGGGGACCAAATGCAGGACTCCCCCAAGCCAGAACTCATAGTGACCCTCCTCTGCACCCCCCGTGGGTACTTTCGCCTGGCCGGAATGTGTGAAGAGATACCTGTGTAGGAACCTGTTGCTTCTGCATGGCTGAAACTAGACTCTGCCAGTCCCTGGCATGCAGGCCCCCCCTCCCAGAAAGGTTGCCCACAAAGAAAGGTGGTCCTTGTGCTCAGAAAAGTTTCCCACCCCTGCCTTGAGCCATCAAGGTGATTGTCCCCATTAATACCATCTGTCCATGGAAGCAGAAGTGGGGGGGGGGGAGGGCAGGGCGGAGAAACATTTGCCTCTCCCAAGCAGGCCTTCTTTCAGTCCCACCTGGACCTGATGAGGTCATTTCTCTGCTCAAACAGAGCTGGTGCTAACTTCTAGTAGGGAGATGAGACAGCAACCCCACCCAGCTCCAGTAGCTCTGAAGGTGTCATTTCATAGAATCATAGAGTTGGAAGAGACCACAAGGGCCATCGAGTCCAACCCCCTGCCAAGCAGGAAACACCATCAGAGCACTCCTGACATATGGTTGTCAAGCCTCTGCTTAAAGACCTCCAAAGAAGGAGACTCCACCACACTCCTTGGCAGCAAATTCCACTGTCGAACAGCTCTTACTGTCAGGAAGTTCTTCCTAATGTTTAGGTGGAATCTTCTTTCTTGTAGTTTGGATCCATTGCTCCGTGTCCGCTTCTCTGGAGCAGCAGAAAACAACCTTTCTCCCTCCTCTATGTGACCTCCTTTTATATATTTGAACATGGCTATCATATCACCCCTTAACCTCCTCTTCTCCAGGCTAAACATGCCCAGCTCCCTTAGCCGTTCCTCATAAGGCATCGTTTCCAGGCCTTTGACCATTTTGGTTGCCCTCCTCTGGACACGTTCCAGTTTGTCAGTGTCCTTCTTGAACTGTGGTGCCCAGAACTGGACACAGTACTCCAGGTGAGGTCTGACCAGAGCAGAATACAGTGGCACTATTACTTCCCTTGATTTGGTGGATTCCGTCGGCTTCCACAGCCCATGAACCAGTCCCTAGATGTGATGGAGCAGCATCTCAACCCCCGATGTTCCCGGGGTGGTGCTTTGGCCCTACTTTGGCAAGCAATAGTGAACTCTCTCTTTTTTGACCCCTGAGGAAACACAAAGCTGGTGGACAATTCAGAGGAAATTATTACTCTCCACTTTGGCCTTTTGCTCCCTGGCTCACTCCACCCAACCCTTGGCTTCATGGGTTGGTATTCAGGTAGCAAGGACAGGTCATGAGAGTTCAGCCTGAAGTTTCAAAGTTTTAGCCTTCAAAGGCAGAGATAAAATCTCAGGTTGAAGGCTGGAGCCATAGAAGAGAAGAAGAGCTTGGATTTGATATCCCACTTTATCACTACCCTAAGGAGTCTCAAAGCAGCAAACAATCTCCTTTCCCTTCCTCCCCCACAAGAAACACTCTGTGAGGTGGGTGGGGCTGAGAGACTTCAGAGAAGTGTGACTAGCCCAAGGTCACCCAGCAGCTGCATGTGGAAGAGCGGAGATGCGAACCCGGTTCACCAGATTACGAGTCTACCGCTCTTAACCATTACACCACACTGGCATCCCATAGGGACGGCATGCTCTTCTCTCCTTGGTTTGAGGGCTTGTGTTTTTGCTCTGTCCTCGTGTTAGTAAAGCCTTTTCTCTGAACAACCAGGCAGAGCCAATATTTGTCCTCTGCCCCACCAGGTGCTGATCCCAACGAGTGCTGTACCCCCAGTGAGCTTTGCTCCCGCCTAGAAGTTCCCACTGCCTGCCCTAAGAGGTACCACCCATAAGTGTGGGGCTATGCCTCTGGCAACCATATACCCTGGACCTTCATCCTGTGGAGGAACTAGCTAGTTGAGAGGGGTCCCAAGTGGTGGAGCTTCTGGAAGGTGTCAGGAAAAGCTGGAACTATGCCAGCAGTTAATATGAAGATACGTCTTTTGTTAAGTTGGGGCTGCTCTGCAGACCCTTTCTATGGATCATATATCATGATTTGTGGTGTTGAGGCTATTCGTGTGGCTATACACGTCCATTTCATTTGTATCAGCCGTAGTTTTTGTTGCACGGTAGCACAAGAATGCCCCTCCAGATGGCAGAAATGTGGAAACATTGGGCAAGTGTAACAAAACAACTAATAAATAAAATGGAAAGGCGTGCCGATGTCCCAGTATAAATCCAATGGCCCAAATAGTGTTTCTTGACTGAGTATGAGTGTGTTTTAATGGTTTGAGTAACAACACATTGTTACCGTATTGTTAAAGCTATGGTTTTCCCAGTAGTGATGTATGGAAGTGAGATCTGGACCATAAAGAAGGCTGATAGCCGAAGAATTGATGCTTTTAAATTCTGGTGCTGGAGGATACTCTTGAGAGTCCCATGGACTGCAAGAAGATCAAACCTATCCATTCTGAAGGAAATCAGCCCTGAGTGCTCACTGGAAGGACAGATCCTGAAGCTGAGGCTCCAATACTTTGGCCACCTCATGAGAAGAGAAGACTCCCTGGAGAAGACCCTGATGCTGGGAAAGATGGAGGGCACAAGGAGAAGGAGACGACAGAGGACGAGATGGTGGGACAGTGTTCTCGAAGCTACGAACATGAATTTGAGAAATTCTGGGAGGCAGTGGAAGACAGGAGTGCCTGGAGTGCTCTGGTCCAGGGGGTCACGAAGAGTCAGACAAGACTAAATGACAACAACACATCCTGGAAAGGCTCACAGCCCTTTCTCTTTGTTTCAGGGGAACTGTCAGCCCAAGGAAGGATGCCTGAATTATAGGAATAAGACACGTTCTCCTACCCTCTCATTCCAACAGCCCTTGTGCTCACTAAAGAGGCGACTTGGGGCTAAGATAGAGAGGACTCTTCTCCAAAGGAAAGGAAAATGTGTTTTAAATCCCTTGGAGGGCTGTGAGGTCAAACCTAGGAATAGCGCAATCCTTTCATCTAGGCCTGCTGGTAATTACAGAGATGCTGATCAGAAAGCTCCATTTTGCACTTAAAATTGCAAGCCGGGTTCAACTTCTGTGCACGAAAGATTTCCACATTGGAATTGTGGGGCTTAAAAGACAGAGTGAAATCTCTCTGAGTTTATGAGGGAGACCATTAATCGCTCTGAGCTGAAATTTAAATAAAATCTGAGCCTTTTGAGATTGTCTAGCAACTGTAACAGGGTTTCCTTATAGCAGAAATGAAGTGAATTGGGTTGTCCATACCCACGCAGGAAAAATGGCTGTTGCTGTTTAACTGTCTTTGTGGGTCTTCTGCTGCGATGTCATGGCACCAAAGGGTTTTTGTGGACCCCCAAGATCTCACTCTGCCCTCCCATTTTAATTAAAAATATATATATATTTAAAAAAAAATATATAGTTCCCATAGGTATCCCACTGTGCCCTCCAGAAGACCCCCTTAAAAAATATTTTAAAAATAGTATTATTATTTTTTTAAAATGTTCACCATTGCCCTGTTGTGATTCTTTGATGTCAAAACATGATTGAGCCCCAGCCCCACCCACCCAGCTCTCCACAAAGAGGTGGCAAAACTTTGGCTTTTCTACTGGACCAGCAAAGCACCACCCTAGGAAGCCCAGTTGTCAGCTGCCAGGATTGTGCAGCTTGTGAGTTTATTTCCTTTTCTCCTCGGTGGCCGGTGCTGCTGGGCCCTCAGGGGAGAGATGATCACTGCTGTGTTGAATTGTTTGTCACATTTTCCGTTTGGCTGCCTCAGAGTCCCCAGGGGAGTTCATTGCGCCAGGGCCCACAGGAGGTGAGAGCCGCTCCCTGTTTGCATGCGCGGCGGAAGCAGCAGCAGCAGCAGGAAAAACAGCAGGGCGAAGCTTCAGCTTGGAATGAGCTGTCTCCGCCAGACAGTGGTTCTCTGGCGGTGGCAGCATGGGTTTGGTGCCCGGAGCGCAAGGCAGCGTTCTGGTGGCAGCACACAGGTGACAGGCTCTTAATGAAAAAAGGGGTCCCTAGGCATGGACTTTTTAAGGGAAAAAAGAAAAGGCAGCAGTTTGCGCTTGACAGAAACAGCCATGTGTGGAGGGACGGGGCAAAGCCCTAGAGGCATCCTGTATCCATCCTCTCTCAGCAGGCTTGGCTGAACAGCATTTAAGAAGGAACCTGGAAGTGATGTGGAGAGTCTCCCAACTGTTTTTGTGTTCGTTCAACTTTTAACACAGCCCATGAAAGATTTGGCCAGAAAGATGGTGCATATGTGTGTATGCTTGCTGGCTTGCTTAACCCTTTCCCTGCAGCCGTTTTTACAATTAAAAATCTCCCTCACCATCTGTTTTCGCACCCACGCGTAGATTCTTCTGTGGGGAGTAAAGCAGCTTGGAAAAGGAATTTTTTTAAGCCTCCCCCTCTCCCCTTGCTACTCTGTTTATATTTGAAGCCAGCTTGGCCAATAATGATAGGGGAAATGCTTTGAGGTGGAGCCCAAGACATCTGGAAGGCCTGCACCGGTCTTCAGAGACCGACACTGGCTCCCAGTACGTTTGTGAGCACAATTCAAAGTGTTGGTGCTGACCTTTAAAGCCCTAAACGGCCTCTGCCCAGTATTCCTGAAGGAGCGTCTCCACCCCCATTGTTCCCACTGAGGTCCAGCGCCAAGGGCCTTCTGGCGGTTCCTTCACTGCGAGAAGCCAAGTTACAGAGAACCAGGCAGAGGGCCTTCTTGGTAGTGGCGCCAACCCTGTGGAACGCCTTCCCACCAGATGTCAAAGAGAACTACAACTACCAGACTTTTAGACGACATCTGAAGGCATCCCTGTTTAGGGAAGCTTTTAATGTTTGAGGCATTACTGTATTTTAATATTCTGTTGGAAGCCGCCCAGAGTGGCTGGGGAAACCCAGCCAGATGGGCAGGGTATAAATAAAAAATTATTATTATTATTATTACTACTACTACTACTTTGGCTAACCCTGCTGTAAAGTATTTAGCCTACTCATACCTCTTCCCTGATTGAATGCTAGAAAAATATTTAATGAAAGCTGAGATTTCCAGGATCCCAACTTTCTGTCCTTGATGTCCCATTTGGCATTTGCACCCTGAGGCCATAGCACAGGGGTCAGCAAACTTTTTCAGCAGGGGGCTGGTCCACTGTCCCTTGTGGGGGGCCGGACTATATTTGGGCGGGGGGAAATGAATGAATTCCTATGCCCCACAAATAACCCAGAGATGCATTTTAAACAAAAGCACACGTTCTACTCATGTCAAAACACCAGGCAGGCCCCACAAATAACCCAGAGATGCATTTTAAATAAAGGGACACGTTCTACGCTGATTCCCGGACCGTCCGCAGGCCGGATTTAGAAGGCGATTGGGCCGGATCCAGCTCCCGGGCCTAGTTTACCTACCCATGCCATAGCAGAATGGAATACATGCAGCCTGGTTCGTGGCCCACCTGGTCTGGCTGGCCTCAATTATTGGCTATGTGTGAGTGCAAGCCCCATTTTGAAATAGCCTTAGAAATTGCTCCCTAAGCTGTGCGTTATATGAAATAGTTTCTCTCATCCTGTACTTGGCTGGAGCTGGACCAGCCAGCATGTGGCAGGTCAAGGTTAAGGTGTGTTGGCTGTGTGGTCAGGAGGAGACTCGCAGCAGGGATAGGTGGGGATGTTGGAAGCCAGTAATAACACCCGGTGGCAATGGCCATGTTGTATGTGTGTAGGAAGAGAAGGAGCAGCAAGGGGTAATGAAGGCTTTGATGGAGATTCAGCGGAAGAGCCAGGTGGGGATCCAGAAATGAAATAGCAGGGAGTGCATTGACATGCATTAGTAGAGTCCAGGACTGAAATGGCAGGAGGAGTGGGGTGGAGGGAGGTCATGAACAGCATGCGCTAGCAGAGCCATTTGAGGTCCTTTATAAGAGAACAGCAGGACAGTTACCAGGCACATCCAAAATGTATTATTAGAGCTTCATGGGAGCCAAGGACTGGCATTTTTCTGTGGGCTTTTGGATCAGGCCTATGCTGCACAGCCAGAGGTTGTGTGCAAGAGAATTGGCTCCAGGATCAGCCTGCCATACATACTGTGTATGACTCAAGTGCAAAGTTAATGCAACATATGGAAATAATACCTAGTGTTCCAGCAACTGTTTTCCACCCACTTCCTTATAGTTCTACCCAATTCCGGGGCATCTTGGCTGGCATTTATTTAAAGAGGAGCCATGTTTTCCATGGAAGTCCCAGCACTCTTGTGGCCCCTGACTCTGCTCCTATGTGAGTCAAGTAGCGGTTAAGAAACAGCTCTTCCTAACCTGCCTTGGAATTCTGTGCAGCCAGGGCCGCCTTAAGCATATCCGGCGCCATGGTGCAGAGCTCCCTCTGGCGCCCACCCACCCTCCCGTTTCCCAGAGTTTTTTTAGGGAGGATGGCGCTGCCGGCAGGGCTGGAGGAGGCGGGCAGTGGTTGGAGGGCAGCTCCTCTGGCGGGGAAGAGGCGGAGGCTGGACCCAGCAACTCCCGGCTCAGCTGGATGCTTCGTGCCACGGTGGCCACGGCAGATGAAGGCTCTGGGTGTGGCACTGCTTCGGTGCGGCATGGCGGAGGCGGGCGAGGGCGGCGAGCTGATGCCGGGAGGTGCCGCATCCAGCCTCCGGCTCTTCCATGGCGCCCTCCAGAACTTGGCGCCCTGTGCCACTAGCTCTATGGGTAAGACGGCCCTGTGCGCAGCAGCTCCCCTCCCCTTCCCCACCCCAAATTCCAGGACTGTACCAGGCTCTCCTCAACTGCAGCCCTGCCCCCTCTGACTCACTCTGAATATGGCCAAATCAGTGCCATCCTCAGGACAAAGGGAGATCCTGGGGATGGGGTGGGGGGTGGGGGAAATCAGCTCCTGCCTTCAGGCAAGGCAAGGCAAGGAATTGCATAATGGATTTCTCTGTTACCTACAGGGAAAGGTTTTGTGCGCACTCATTCACAAGGCTGCTGCACAGATCAATGTAGGCTTGTATGCACCCCAAGTCCGCCCTTATAGTAATAGTCTGCCAACCGAAAAGCAAGCCTTGGAAGGTGTGCTGCTTTTGCTATATTTGCATTAGAATGGCAAGCCACATGCTGTGATTGACATGTCTTGTTTGCAGGTTTTGCATTTACTCTTCTGGCAGAGCTCTGCTTGCTCCCCCCCCCCCCCTGATGCTTCTTGCTCCCTGCTTCAACCAAGGAGCCCATAAAGGTTAGTGGGCTGTTTGAAAGCCAGACTACAGCATGTGAATCAATTAGAGCTGATTGAAATACTTCTTTGCTGAAGCAACATGGCTGAGTAAAACTAAAGAATATTCCACTGGGGAGCAGGAGTCAATTTTCGTTAAAGCGCCTTGATTCCCCACCCCCCACCCTTTCCTGTTGAATAAAATGGAATGGGAAAAACATCATTTTACAATAACATTTGCCCAGTGATGTGCATGTAGCTGGGTCAGAGTTTAATAGAATTGTTTATTTATTTCTATCCTTCACCTTCAACAGGGTGGCTAGCAGAGTAACAAGAAAGAAAACAGTACAATAAATAAATAATAATAATAATACAAATTAATGCACTAACAGCAGATTGAAAACAATGAACTAAAAAAGCAACAGTCAGTTAAAACAGATGGTGTTCATAAAAATCCGAGGGCCTCAGCAAACTTACTGAATGAGTTCTGAGTGAGCAATGAATTAATGTATAGTATTTGGAACTGTTTTACAACTTTGGCATGCATTTCTTTAATAGTAGAAGGGATTACTGGCAGTGGAAGAGCACTTGGGTCTTGCACTGATAAAAAGTAGGAAGCAAAAATAATGAACAAAGAGAATGAATTACATAACCATAGAGCAACACATATGATGGATCTCAATTGATTTAATAACCAAAAAATTAAGTTGTAATAACAAAATTAAATGGACCAACTACATTTTTTAAAATAAAATTGCTCATCACTACCAGGTCTTGATTTAGTGTCTTCCTTAGCTCCCAGTTTGAAACGTTAAAAAAATCCAAAAACAGAATGGACATTCTGAATTTTAAAAATAACATGTAACGAATCAGAACAGATTTTTAAAAACTAGTTAATTTTTATGAAATACTCAAAAACATGATGGTTTATACCTGCAGGAAGGCTCTGATAAACATTTTCTCATTAATATCTCCTGACACATTATGTTGTACTTTCTCAATTGACCGAAATTTTCTGTATCATTCGTTCCCTATTTGGACAGAAATCTTCCATGACAGAGATTACAGTTCTGTACTCGAGCAAATGTGGCTTGATGAAACCGCTAATCTGATCAAAAGTGAAGGTGAGGCAGCCGTTGGGGATGGGGGAACCAAGCCACTCTTTTCTCCTGAGAGCAGCAAAGAACTGTCAGGCCTTCCTTCTTAACCTGTCAGCTGACTAAACTGGCTCCTAACAGCATCAAACTGTTTGAACCAGGGATAGAGAGCCAGTGGGCCTCTCGTTGGGTGTGGTTGGACTCTGACTCCCATCAGCCCCACTCAACAAAGTCAACGGTCATGGATGATGGGGACAGTAGTCCGACAACATTGTTCTCCATCCCTGGTCTAGAGTTGGAGACCTTTTTCTGATGTACAGCTTGCTAGCCACTGATTCCGGACTGAGAAACCTCTCAAGGCAGCTGCTCCATGCTGCCCCCGCCCCCCACCGGCTTTTGTGCCAATGCCTGCAGCAGCTTTTGTTTTAATATGCAGGGATTTGCTCAATCTCGTTCTTCCTTTCCATTTATCCCGTGTTCTTAAGAAATTGTGTTGCTGTTTTTCTCCTGCTACTTTTCCCCAAAGCAAGCTTGCATACCAATTAAACCAGAATGGAGTGGCAGCTATGCTGCTGCTATTCTGGTACAACCTCCATGATGTCCTAGCACACATCCAGCCCAGAAAAGGATAAGGTAGGATAGGATAAGGTGAAATAGCGAAATCAGTAGAATGGAAATAAACCTCATAATGGGAAATTAAAAGAAACTTTATTGGATGTTAATGACAGTATGAATTAAAATGTAAAATACAATCAAGGTAACTAATGGTATCTGTAAATGAATATAGACAAACAATAAGACATGTATAGGGACTTGGGTGGTGCTGTGGGTTAAACCACAGAGCTTAGGACTTGCCGATCAGAAGGTCGGCAGTTCGAATCCCCGTGACGGGGTGAGCTCCCTTTGCTTCGTCCCTGCTCCTGCCAACCTAGCAGTTCGAAAGCACGTCAAAGTGCAAGTAGATAAATAGGCACCACTCCAATGGGAAGGTAAACAGTGTTTCTGTGCGCTGCTCTGGTTCGCCAGAAGTGGCTTAGTCATTCTGGCCACATGACCTGGAAGCTGTACGCCAGCTCTCTCGGCCAATAAAGCGAGATGAGCACCACAACCCCAGAGTCGTTCACAACTGGACCTAATGGTCAGGGGTCCCTTTACCTTTACCTTTAAGACATGTATATACAGAAATATTTATTTGTATATAGACACTGTACAGATAAAGTTGAAAGAAGAACAACAATATACAAAATCGATAAAGACAATGTGAGAATCTTAGAGACGACATAAAAAAGCCAGAAGAAGGAAGGCGGCAAGTCAACTTGGAGTAAATGTAAATGTAATGTGTATATGTATAGTATGTAATCATAAAATCAATAAAGATTATCTTCAAAAAAAAAAAAAAAAAGGAGGGTGGCGGTGGCAAAGCACACCCTGCAAAGAAAACACGCCACATGGTAACACCACCAGGGCCCACTGGTCATGAGCTCTGTGTGCCACTTGTACGCCAGGGTAGGAGAACGCCAAGGCAGCATGTCTCCAGGGCAACTTCTGCCCCTGTCCCACGTACAGCTATCACTGCAGCGCCTCTCCCCAGTGGGGAAATAAATACAGGGAAAAAATCAACAATTTGGCAAACACAGAATCAATTCAATATTGCCCCCTCCCCAAATGAATAAATGTAGGCTTAAGAACAGAAAGCAAAACAGGTGTTAACCAACAATAAAGTTCGTGGTGCTGGCCTTGCCGCACTCCAAGGAGTCTGGCTTAAATGCAGTTCAGAGGGGAGGGCTCAAAGATGACATACAGCTGGCTCCCATATCCCTACTCCCGAGGAGACTGACAGCAGCAAAAAGCAAATGTCAGGGAGGGTAATGATGGCAAGTCTCTTCCCCAGCCTCCTGGAAGTACCAGCTGCTGGTGCAGGTCTTCTTGCAAGCAAAGAAACAACAGATGTGACAAAGTTATAGCCCTTTTTTGAAGGGCATCAGGGGTGGAGTAGGTACATCTTGAGATTGCTAGCCTGTCACCTGAGTAGAGAGTTTCGTTCAGATTTTAAGCTGCTAAAGCAAGGGACTATTCCCACCCCCAATCTAACTCTGCCTATGCACTCTGCATATTGATGGGGCATATAAATAAATGAATAGTAGCAGTGATGGTGGTAAAGGTCCCAGAATTCGTTCTATTCTTGCTCTTGTTTTTTCTGGAGTGGGTGGGAAAACAAAACGTTTGTACTTTGAGGAAAGAACAGAATCACACACAGACTTGGAACTAAAGACTCCTGTGAGCAGATTTTCAAATGCTTCTCATCTACAACCGGGATGAGATTTATACGCGAAGCAAAGTTGCTATCACACCAACCTCCTTGAAATAATCTACACATCTATTTTAGTTCTGAAATAGAAGTTGAATTCTGCAGGGGGCAGGGAAATGCAGCCCCAGACTGGGAGTGAGAGATGCTCTTTCAGCTGTTTGTTTATATTGTGTTTGTTTGCTTTGTCTGTCTGGGATTTATTTATTTTATTTGTCTAGCTGGTTTGGCAACTGGCGCTGTGATCCTGACAAATTATTCCCGTTGCTGTCAATCAGCATTTCATTTCCTCAGCAACTGAGGCCTTAGAACAAAAGAAATAAGCCCTTCGCTTTTGCAGGGCGCGTGATGCGCAGAATTGGGGTTGACAGTATTTTATTTTTAAAAGGCTGGTGCTCTGGGAGGTGGGGGCATGGCAGGTGCCCTCTTGCAGAACAAGTGGGGCATAACTAAGTGACAGATGGCTGGCAGGTAGAGAGGACTCTGCCCCAGAAGAGGAAGAGAAGCCGCTTGTGATGGATACATGCTGGATAAATTTGGGGGTTGTTTGAGAAATGCAGTGGTTCTGTTGCTGTGTCAGGATAAGCAAGGCTTGAGACTACCAAGTGGCTGGGGGCATCTCAGCCCACATACATGCAATGGATTGGTACCGACCAAATCATACTCAGGGTAGACCCAACAGAATTAATGGACCCAAGCTAGTCATGCCATTGAGTGTCAATGGGTCCGTCCTGAGTTATAATATAGGCTTATCCCAGGGGTTGGCAAAGTTATTGTGGCTTGGGCCAGTTCACGGTCCTGCAGACACCGCGGTGGGCTAGAGTGCACGCGCACGCATGCTTAAACGCTATTTCCAGCGCAGAGGAGGTGTGCACAGCTTCCCATTGGCTGCAGGAGCTTCTTGCAGCCAATGGGAAGCCAGCCAGCGTTGCGGAAGGCGGTCCCCGCTCTGCTCTACACTGGTTTAGTGTGGCGCACTGGAGCCAACTGAGCAGGCAGCGGGGGTCCATGGGCCAGTTAAACGACCCCCATGAGCCACTTGTGGCCCATGGGCCTTAGGTTGCCGACCCTTGGCTTATGCTATAGGCCTATTAGAAGTGGAGCTGCTAATTTTCAAGCAGCCACTACAGTTGTGACCTGTTTGAAGAAGCTGCTGCAGCTGTGCCTTTAAGAACAGCTGGTGTGATGGCAATCAGAGGTTTGTGCATGCTGAATGGGGAGTGGGACTCTGCCTCCTGGCTTCTGCCTACTAATCCAACAGCCAGCCCCCAGGTGCTCTGTACTATGCCATCAGAAAAGGCTGCCTCTACCTACCTGCTTAGTCCGATATGTGCATAGATCAGGAGGTGGGGCCACTGGGGGTGCTGATGGATGTTGGTGGCAGGACCGCCCCTTCCATGCATTCCTTGAATCCGTGTGTGAGGGAACATCTTGGAAGTCCTAAAGGCCATCTCTCATGCTTTGAAAAACTTCACCTGCCTATTTCTGAGCACCAGGTTGCTCTTAAAAGGCAAGAGGCCAGGCCAGGCCACACACCTGGTCAGTTGTCAGCCTAAATTGTACAGATGACTGAGTTAAATGTATGGGAGGTGTAATGATGCTTCGAGCTATGCTGTGCAAGTGCTTAGTGCTTGCTATGACCTGAGTGAGCATTGCCTCAGGTGTCTAGCCTGGGATATTTATATTCATATGGAGATGATGCAGATGAGTAGCAGAGAACTTGGTTTGCATGTGGGAGCTCCTGGGTTCATTCTCTGGTAATTCTAGTTAAAGAGTCTCAGGTACCAGGCTGGGACGATTGTTGCTGAAATCCCTGGAGACCTGCAGTCTCTAGGAGGGGCTGGCCATACAGGACTCAATGGTCCCATTGTCTTGGAGAAAGTTGGAACAGGTGAGGCTGGATGGACCAGGGGGCTGGCTCAGTATAAGACAACTTCATACATTCGCTGCAGCTCTCTTTCAGCTGTAGCACCTGAACCCCCTTAGGGGGAAAAGCAAAGGAACATTGGCACTTTGCTTCTACCCTATCTTTTTACCCCAGACAGCCCCGGATGAACAACAAACTCACGAAGCACTTGCGGTATGGAGACCATGAGGGCAAGTAAGCACTCCACTTGGGATCTGTGTGCTTTAGTCAGTCAAGCCTGGTGCCCCCAGGAACTTCAAAGGCCCCTCATGGATCTGACCCAGCAGTGCTGCCACTTTGCTGCCCCTGGACGGCTGTTTCAGCAGTGGGCATGCGCCAGTCCTGCTTTTGAATGGGAGTGAAGGTTGGCTCCCATCTGCCCTCCTCAGGTGGCAGAGTTCCTCAGGTGGTAGTTGGACCCCGTGTTGTTTACTCTGTTTTTATTCTGCTTTTAAGAGAATGTCCGTCTCCCAAAGTGGCTTACCTCAATAAAAAGGGGATTGACCCTACCGAAAGACAAGCTGCAAGCGTTCAGCTTGGTGGGTCACGAGGTTGTGCAGCCGCGCCCTAGGCATTGCTCAGCACCTTGTCTGGATAAGTCATGACCCATCTTCTTTTCCTTGTGCCTTCTCAGTGCAGGAAATCCTGAAGGAGCGCCGAGAGGGAAGGAGTGGTGAGAGAATGAAGAAGCCAACCGAGCAGGAGAAGCATGAGGTGGCAGCGCAGCGCTCAGTTTAACGGGCTCTGGCTGATGGTCCCATGGGTGTCCTCAGTATTGGTCCTGACTCTGGGGTGCTGGGGGCTGGCTGCAGCTGTTGCCACACCACACGAACAGCATGCCTCCACACCCTCCTCCAGCCAAGTGCCACTGGACTGGCTGCTCACTGATCGAGGACCATTTCACCGCGCCCCAGAGTATGTTGACTTCATGGAGCGCTTTCGGCAAGGTTTCGCCACCAGGTACAGGATCTACAGGTAAGCCAAAGAGACGGGCCAGGATTCAGACCTGGGCTCATGGTTTGTCCCACTTCAAACAAACCATTAACTTGGCTTGCTGGGATGGGACAAACCATAAGCCCAGGTTCACACATCAATGCTAAACTAATCCACGTCTTGCTTCGTTCTGGGCAGAACCATACCAGCAGGAGGTGGAGAGAGCAGCAAAGTGTCTGCAGTTTGCTCTCCAGGCCCCAACACACTTCCTTGCTTGTGGCACTGCTATGTGCAAATTAGGCCATTCACTACAATAGCCCCCTTTTCCTTCCTAAGGGAAAAAATTGCATTGTGAGTAACTTGGCACAAATGATTCACTGAATGCCAATGTGGAGGGGCAATATGGTGTCTTGTAAACAAGGCATGGAAGTCATAGGGATAGGAAAGTTGCTTAGTCCCATGCCAGACCTTTGGCCTACCAGCTCAGCATTGTCTACACTGACCAGTCACTTGTCACCACACATCTCACCTTATGGACTGAAAGGGCTTACCGTAGATTCCGGCATATAAGACGACTTTTTAACCCTGGAAAAGAGTTAAAAAGTCAGGGGTCGTCTTATATGCCGGGTATGGGTGGTGCGGAGCAGAGACCCCCCCCCCGCTGCTGCGGCGGGCTCCGCTCCGTGCCGGGCGGCTTTCTCCTGGCGTGGAGCTGCCCAGCGTATTAGGCGACTGGGCTTATAAGACGAACCCCCAAATTGCAGCTGCCAATTTGGGGGGTCGTCTAATACTCCCAGTCGCCTAATACGCCAGAATCTACGGTATATAGAAATGGATTGAGTCCCTGTATTTCTAGACAAACTTCATCCCAAGAGGATTTCAGGGCAGCAGGCAGCAAACCAGTACAATATTTCTTCACGTTTAGATTAAACAGACACAATCTCAGTTCGCCCCTAAACAAACTCCTAACAAATCAAGGTAAAAGGGGTTTTTTGGAGGGGGGCAATGAAAAGCTGGTAATGAGGGGAACAATCTGAAGGGAGTTCACAATTGGGACACAGTGACAGAAGAAGAAGACACTGCCTTGGGTCACCACAGAACATACCATTGATGCAGGCAGGACTTGAAGGAGGCCTCTGGTTCACTTAAGTTAAGAGGAGCTGAAGGAGGAGATTTTGCCCTGTGCTACTTTGTGGGAGGGAAGTGTGTCCTTTGGATATTCTGCCAGGTACCAAAATGTGTGAAGCTGGCCCTGATGGAGATCAGATGCTAGTCCCCCTGTGAACTACAACAGAGGGACAATCAAGTTCTCAACTTCTACTCCTTTCCCATCATTTAGGCTTATGTCCTCACCCTGTCCTCACATCTATGGGTTGGTTACTTCACTACATTTAGGGATGATGGAGAAATATGTTCACATTTTAATGCAAATCTGCTTAACTTGCATATCCCAAACCAATCACAAACTGAAATGCAGCAATCCTTGTAAAGCCACACTTCTCTGAATTGTGTGATGAGGTTCTCCAATCCTGTACATATTTGGGAAGAGTACGTACAATAGTGCATGGTAAGGGAAAACATACAAAAATGCATTATAGTAGGAAAAATTGTTTTTAAAAATGTGTGCATTAGACAAAATGTATACAATGGGCAAATCTATCCATTCCTAACTACACTGCGGTTTAGTGGAGATTTTTGCTGGAAGGGAGAAGTCAGCAGCAATTGCCCAGAGGCAAAACCTGTCCTGGATAGCATGATATTATGTTGCTAGGCAGCCCCAGCAGCAATATGCCCCTTTCTTTGGATCCAGGAAAAAGGTTGGCTCCGACCAAACCGAACCATTATGGCAACTCAGCCACAGAACTGAAGGCCAGCAGAAGTTAACCTTTTAATTGTTCCATCTCAGTAGGGTTTCAGATGCTTATCGTTCATATTGATAAACGGGCACTTCCTTAAATCTGGACTGGGTTTGCATTTTGCTTCTGACTTTTGGCCATGAACCTATATAGAGGAGGTGTTTCTCAAACCTTTTGAACTCAGGGTCCTCTTCTAAACTTACTCTACTCACACCCTCTCTCAGCACCAGATTCTCTATAGATGAGCTTGCAAAGATGGTTGCCTCCAATGCTCATACACCTGCTGCTGTGAAATTGAGATACTCAGCTCGACACTAGCCTTAGGAGAGGAACGGAATACAATCTTGTTGGCCCGTCTTAAAACCATACATAGGGAACCACCTTAACAAAGCTGTAGCTTTTCCCTCAGATAATGGGGCAATGGAGATGTTGTCACTTCTATAAATCCATTCTGTATCTGTATGGATCCCCTTATTGTCTTTGCTGGTGGGAAAGAAGCGTACTACCAGCTTCAGGATCTTATCCCTTCCAGGAGTATTGTGTGCACACAATATTCTACAGCAGCTTTCCCCATCCCTGCTATCTAGGGATGATGGGAGTTGTAGTTCAGCAACATCGGAGGAACCAAGTTTGAGAAAGTCTGCTCTACAGCGTGGTTGGGGAAATTCAGGCCTGGGGGGCTAAATCTGACCCTCGAGGCATCTGAATGTGGCCTGAATAAATCTCCCCAGGCTGCACACCCTCATTCTTCCAGTTTTGCACTCTGAATGCCTCAGCCTGGTCATAATGTGAACTCTGATTGTGCCCTTTGCTTGCCTAGAGGGAGGATGGAGAGGGGTGTGAGACTGTACGGTGGTCAAGTTGACATCCATTGCCCTGCCTGCTTTTGTCCCTGACAGCATGTGGCCCTTGGAAAGCTGCCCAGAAGGCACTGTGGCCCTTGGGAAAGGGCTCCATACCCCTGCTCTAGAGACGATATCCCGCTAGGGAGGTTCATCGGAAAGTATGAGAACCACTGCCACTGGGGAAAGTAGGGGTGATCTTTGAAGCCCTGTGAGAACAAAACGAAACAAAATGCATGGGTTGGGGGAGGCTTAAAGTGTAACCCATGAAATGCCCCCATTTGGAATGCTGTTTATCAGACTCAGAACTGGCATAAAGCGCTGCTGGGCTACAGCTTGATTGTCAACATTTCAGGGATTGGCTTGAATAGACTTCATGGCGATGTCACTAGGAAAGATTGTCATAAATATTTCAGTGGCTGTTCTCAGAGAAAATGAGCAAAGCCGGTTGTACGAGGCAGGATCAGTGGTTCAGTTGGTTTGTTTTTGTTTGTTTTAATAAAACAACAACAACAATGGGTTATGGTAGTTTGCTTGCTTACTCACTTGACTTTCTCATTTTGGCAAGCTGCAACGGAACTATCCAGGCATCAAAATTAGATTGGAAAAGCAATCATTTTAGACTGACAATTCCGTTGGTGACAGGGGAGCTGTCAGCTGTGCTCCCTCCTAGGAGGGATTTAAAAATTCACTTTTATTCTCGTGCCTGTCACCTCTCTGTGCTCTTAATTGTGGTGGCTGTTTTCAGTGCAAGCTACTTCCGTCAGGACCCTAAAATACAATGACAACGGAAAAGCTTGCGCCAAAGTACTATTAGTAACAGCAGTAACAGAAATGCAATGATAAATAAAACATAAAATAAGGATCTTTTTGTGGACACTTCCATTTGAACAAACTGATTTAAGGTTCTTACAAAGCAGTATTGAACAAGCACTCACAGCCTGAACTGCAGGAGGAGAGAGACTGGCTGGACCAAATATAACAGAGGCGCAAGATAGCAGCAACGCAGTTGGCCTGGCTGCACATGAGATTTAAAAAGGTAAAGGGACCCCTGACCATTAGGTCCAGTCATGGATGACTCTGGGGTTGCGGCACTCATCTCGCTTTAGTGGCCGAGGGAGCCGGTGTACAGCTTCCAGGTCATGTGGCCAGCATGACCAAGCCGCTTCTGGCGAACCAGAGCAGCGCATGGAAACACCATTTACCTTCCCGCCGGAGTGGTGCCTATTTATCTATTTGCGCTTTGACGTGCTTTCGAACTGCTAGGTTGGCAGGAGCAGGGACCGAGAAACGGGAGCTCACCCCGTCGTGGGAATTCAAACCGCTGACCTTCTGATCGGCAAGTCCTAGGCTCTGTGGTTTAACCCACAGCGCCACCCGCGTCCCTATGCACATGAGATTTACCATATCAAAATTAGCCCTATATAAACCTAACTCTGACTTTTGAGAATATTGCCGGTATTATATCATTATCAGTGCTGGTTGGTCCCTCTTCGCCATTGAGTCATTTATTAAGCAGGTGACGTCATTACCCTGTTTTCAACGCCTGCTTAAAAAAATTGTTTAGGCAAGTCTACCCCGATACATAATTTTATTATCTATATTCATTTGTAAAAGTGTTGGTTTTATCTATATTTTGATAATTTGATTATGTCTCCTTGTTTATAAAGTTTTATTTCATTGGTATTTTCTGATGAGGTTTTTTGGGGGGGGTTATTTTTTGTTAGAGGGTTGTTGTTTTTAATTAAGTGGTATATAATTATTGCTCAATAAATACATTTAACAACACACATTAACTTATTAAATACAGTGGTAGCTTCTTCCAGGGGTGGGGGGTGGTACACCATTTTGTGGTCCACCTCAGGTGCCAAAATGTCTTGGGCCTGATTCTGCCTGATTCTACTAGGGGCTGTTGGGCCACTAAAACACTAGCTTGGTGTGCCAGATCCCTAGGGTTTGCCCTTGATAGCATAAGCTACTCAAGTGATGCTCCAAATTTTTAAAAATGATACACACTGGTGGGCACCTGAGTTGTTGAAGGAATGCACCCTGTTGGTGTATTTGCAGAACATACAATGTCCGCAGTGATGGACTGGAGCTCCAAACTGGGTAAACAGTTGAAATGAGGGTTGAATATGTTTGCCAGCATGAATCGACCAGCCTTGAGTGTCCCTTGTCCTTTGCTCTGCAGTTATAGGTTTTCTTTCACAGCTTGGTACGTCTTGTTGCAAATGCCAATAGTTAGGCATACGGCATTGCAAACATTTATTTGCGTAACCGAAAGGCAAAGTGCAAGTGTTTCTATTCAGAACATTCAGAACTTTCTGAAGAAGAGTATTTCTTTCTAACCTCCTGAACTTCAAATTTGGCTGATGTGATATTCTTAGGATAGCCACAATTCAAAATAGGATTTTTGGAATAGTCTCTGAATTGAAATGCCTAAGCCAGGGGTGCCCAAACTTTTCTCAAAGAGGGCGAGATTTGATGAAGTGAACATGTGTGAGGGCTGACCAAAGTTGTTGAGCTTTTACATATACTGCCACGGGGGCCGGATTAAATCAACCAGTGGGCCAGATTACGCCCCCAAAACGGACTTTGGACATGCCTGACCCAAGCCAAATAAATTGTCCAGAGGTTAACTGTGGCTGATGTGACTAGAAGATCTTAAATAGGAATTCATTTCTCTTGGAAGCACCTGCCTCCCTTGATCACTAGATCATCCACAAAAGCTCAGTCTGCCATGATCCTACAGAGGCTCAGATGGGAAGGTCACACTTCCTTTGAGTTGACCTGTTCAAAAAGATTCCTTGTTCCTCCACTAGATGATAACCACACAATTGATACAGTACCACCTCCCAATATAGTGCATGTCTTGATGCTCCAAGAGAAAAGGTCTCAATGGTTAATTTTTCAGCTCTTGTAGAACTGCTTTCTGTAAGGAAGCCAGGACTGCTAATAAAATGAAGATTTACAGGGAGATAAATTAAGTGCGCAGTTAAGATACTACTTTGGGTATTTGGAGGAAATGGCCACTGTGATTATTATTTTTGTGCCAGACTCTGGCACTGTTCTGTTTAGGGAAAGGAGACAGGGCTGTGGATGAAACTGGGAGGCACTGAAGCTGTTCCAATTTAGATGGTTTTCCCAGATCAGAAGCTTCCATTTTGAATTTGCTTCCATGGGAAGATAATTCCAGGGTATTTATTTATTTAGTTACAAACTTGCAACACTATTTAAAATCACAGCAGGATTAACATTTATAATGAAATAGACATTCCATAACTACTTCAGTATTAAAACTCAGATATACATTAACCCCTAAAAGCCATCAAAGGGGAGGGGAGTCCCAAGGTCCTCTTAAACATTGGCAGGGATGAGGCCTGCCAAATCTCCGAAGGAACTACTTCCAAAACTGTGGAGCCACTGTTGAGAAGGCTATATTATGAGTACACATCGACCAGACTGTCTTTACCAGTGGGCACATAAACAAGCCCTCCAATGCCAAACTCAAGGAACAGACTCATGGTGGGTTGGTGGGTTTGGGTCAGGTGGCTGGTCTCCTACCATTCAGGGCTTTAAAGGTTATAACCAGCAATGGCAATGGCAGCCAATTCAATTGGTACCATTTTAGGTGTAATATATTCCAGTAGCTCAGTGCCAACCAGCAGCTGAAATCTGTACCAGCTGACAGTCTCCAAAGGCCCCACCACTTAGAACAGGCTTCCTCAAACTCGGCCCTCCAGATGTTTTTGGCCTACGATTCCCATGATCCCTAGCTAGCAGGACCAGTGGTCAGGGATGATGGGAACTGTAGTCTCAAAACATCTGGAGGGCCGAGTTTGATGAAGCCTGACCCAGAATGCATAGCACTTCAGAAAAATCACAAGCTATAACTAAGATTAGTTCTTGGTATATTTCTCGTAGTTTGTCTCGGGGACACAAACCGTAAGCCTGGGTTTAGACAAACAAGAAAAGGATAATTCCGGTTTGGTAATTACTGTTGATCAGGATTCAGAAATGTTTAACACTCAACCTTTTCAAATTGCACAAGCTTCGTTCTCTATAAATGTCTTTCCATGTTATGTCAAAAGCTCAAGGCAAATTGCCCTGTATCTATGTTTCATCCTCACAGCAGACCTGTGAGGCTGTCAGTGCCTTGCGGCAAGAGCCCAGTTTGGTGCTTTAAAAATACCCTGCTTCTAAATATTGCAATTTCATGTATGGGAAGCTTCAGATTTGGAGAAATATTGGTTTCCATTTTAGCCTTAGTTACAGGGCCGTTTTCTTGGAACAGGAGTTAAAAGTTAAATGGAAATAAAGAAGTCAGTGGAGGGCATTAGCCACAGCAGTGATGCAAAGACAAGCATAAGCCTGTCTACTTAATAATAACAGTATTTATATTTCACCTTAGAGCGCACAAAGCATTTCAAGTATCTTGTTGTAATCCCTACCATAACCTTGTAAGGTAAAGGTATCCCTGACCGTTAGGTCCATTCGCAGATGACTCTGGGGTTGTGCGCTCATCTCTCTCTATAGGCTGAGGGAGCTGGCCTTTGTCTGCAGACAGCTTCCAGGTCATGTGGCCAGCATGACTAAGCGGCTTCTGGCGAAACCAGAGCAGTGCACGGAAACACTGTTTACCTTCCGCCGGAGCGGTACCTATTTATCTACTAGCACTTTGACGTGCTTTCGAACTGCTAGGTTGGCAGGAGCTGGGACCGAGCAACGGGAGCTCACTCCATCGCGGGAATTTGAACCTCTGACCTTCTGATCGGCAAGCACAAGAGGCTCAGTGCTTTAGACCACAGCGCCACCTGCGTAGAATCATATTATTAACCCCATATTGCAGTTGGATAAGCTGAGGGGGTGGCTTGCCTAAGGAACCTTGTGAGTTCCTGGCAAGGCAAGATGGAAACCGCAGGCATCCTGATTCATTGCTATTGTTGCTCAGCTAGTACACTACATCAGCTCTCAAGCACTATTAATCAGGAGGAACCTGATATTTTTGTATTTCTGTAAACATCTGTGTCTGAGCCAAGCAGCAATGCCCTGTTAACCAGGTGAGGCATGGAATCGGTTCCTTGTTCTGTGACTGTCTTGCAGCTAGGAGCGAGACAGCTGCCAAGATGGGTGGCATTTGGGGACTTGTCCCAGAATCTCCCTGCTCTGCTCTGGGAGGAAGCAAGTGCCAAGATCAATCCCCACAAGCCGAAGAGAGAAGGGAACCTGCTGTTTTCTGGCATCCAATACAAGCAGCAGTAGTGGCTGGGGATTGTCTCAGTGCATTACCTCATTGAGGGGAAGCAGACTGAATGGTCCTGAGATGGCGGTTGGGGCTCGGTGTGCCACACCAGTCTGCTTTTCTCTGCACTGATGATAATAATAAAAATAATTGCACCGGCAGTCAGAAGAACTAGAAGTCCCTGGACAGCGTGTAAAATGGCAGAATCATTGATTCTCTGTCCAGATCATTTTAGTGAGTGATTCCTGGTGTGGTGGGGCAGAGCCAGAGAGCCAACCTCCTGCCATCTGCGTTGCTTTTGCTCACTTTGATGGGGCTGGGGTGGAGCAGGGCAGCAAGGAGGTTGGGGCTGGGGGGGAGGCACACACACTGATGGAAGCACCAGTTTGGTTCTGCTGGTGCATCTGTGCAGCCTTAGCTGTGTTTCTGCTCTGCTCTGCTCCACTCCAGCCCTATCTAGGTAAGGTGAAATGTCTCCAAAGTTGGGAGGGTGGTTTCATGGCTCTGGCCAACCTGGCCAGAGATGCTACTGATTTTAGTTGAAAGGGTGTGGCAGGGCGATCGGCTTTGACCTATCACTTACCTTTTTCGGCACATCTGTGGAACGATAATTTCAAGCACTCTACGTGAAGCTACCTTTGAAAGTGACTCGGAAACCACAACTAATCCAGAATGTGGCAGCTAGACTGGTGCCGGGGAGTGGCCGCCAGGACCATATAACACCAGTCCAAAGGTTCTTCATTGGCTTCCAGTGCATTTCTGAGCACAATTCAAAGTGTTGGTGCTGAACTTTAAAGCTCTAAATGGCCTCGACCCAGTATGCCTGAAGGAGTGTCTCCACCCCAATCACTCAGCTCAGATACTGAGGTCCACCTCTGAGGGTCTTCCATTGGTTCCCTCACTGCGAGAAGCGAAATTACAGGGAACCAGGCAGAGGGCCTTCTCGGTAGTGGCACCCGCCCTGTAGAACACCCTCTCTTTAGATGTCAAGGAAATAAACAACTGTCTGACTTTTAGAAGACATCTGAAGGCAGCCCTGTATCGGGAAGTTTTTAATGTCTGGTGTTTTATTATGTTTCAAAATATGCTGTAAGCTGCCCAGAGTGGCTGGGGAAATCGAGCCAGATGGGCGGGGTATAAATAATAAAATTATTATTATTATTATTATTATTATTATTATTAACCACCAGACCTGTAGGAGGATTGTATATGACCTAGCTAGTTTTCTAGTTGTAGTTTTGCCTATTAAAAAAGAATGGGTAGAATCCCATATGATTGACTGCCTCCATGATTTAGAATAATGAAGGGCAGATGAAGAATTCCTGTAGCAGGAGGACTTGTCAATTCTGTTGTTAAAGTGTTGGGCTAATTACAAACTGGCAAGAACCTGTTGCTTTCATAATGAAAGTTAAAGCTATCATCATGTAAAATATATTGGATATATATTGGATATCGCAGTGGGTTGTTCTATTCATATGTTTTAATCCTATTTTGAGGCGTGTCCCGGCTTTTCCATTGCATTGTTATATGACTGATGGTGGCCTTTGGCTAAGCAATAAAGATTTGACATCTGGGGTTGGTGGATTCGCATAATGCGTAGACTAAAGCCCTCTCCAGGAGTTACGTTTTTAATATTTGTTTTTAATATTTGTTTGCTATATGTAAGTCTCCTTGAGCCCTTCAGATATAAGGTGATGTGTAAATAAAGTAGCAAAAATTGTAAGAATAATAAAGAAAATATGTGTGAAAGCAGCAGCAGGGATGGGCATGTCATCACTTGGTTTTAGTTTCTGTCACCTTCCAAATTGTTCAGAGTTCTAAAAATGGGAGGAGCCTCCATGGTAAGGTTACCAGATTTTTTTTCAGTGAATCTGGGGACACAATAAATAAATAAATAAATAAATAAATAAATAAATACATGTTTGTTGATGCTGCAGTGATGGCGTTGGCAGAGGGGCGGCTGCCACCTTGACCTCAACCACCACGTTTCCCCTTCCTCCAAGGTTTCTATCTCCTTTCTTCATGAGCCTGGGCTCATGTTGCTGGTTCTTTGGTGGTGGTGGTGGTGGGGAAGTGGTGTGCAGTGGGTCAGGTATGGAAGGCGGAGAAGGCGGGCCGAGAGCAGCGGCACTGGCGAGACTCAGGCAGCGCGATTCCTCCCTTCCCATCGGAGCAGCCCCAATCCCATTCCTACTTGCGTGCAAGCAGAAGTGGGTGGGGATCCCTCAGCTGGGAAGGGAGGCTTCCCGTTGCCTAACTGAGAGATCCCTGCCCCCTCTTGCTTGCACGCAAGTAGGAGTTGGGAGGCTGCTCCGATAGGCAGCACAAAGCCTCCCTTCACAGCTTAGTTGCTGGGGGTCAGAGAAGATGGAGGCAGCCCAGAAGCTGCATCTTTGAGCCCCTGCACCACCATCTTATGGGGACTTCCGAGCAGCTCCTGAAGCCAGCCAGAGCCAACTGCTCCGGGCTGCTGAGACTGCCGCCACTGCATTTCCCCAGGACATTAGATGAAATACGGGGACATTCCAGGGATGGAATTTGTCTGGGGACTTACTCGCAAATCCGGGGACTGTCCCCGGGAAATGGGGACGCCTGGTAACCCTACTCCATGGACACAAAACTGTCTCCCCCTCCCCCCGGTGCAGAAAATCACCACCTGCAAGTTGCATGGCAGTAGACCTCACAACAGAGTGTCCTGACATTCAACCATTCCATGGAATATTCAGTCATAAGGTAGTGGCCTCCTTCAGGATGGTCTGTCCCTGGAAGGAGTAAATAAATTTGGTGATGCTACATGTATCAGCTGCATCTGTTGGTGCTTTTATGTTCCTATCTCTCCATGTGCTGGTGAACTTGGGGGGGGGAGTTACAACTAGAGGCAAGAATCAGCATGACTGGCGGAACAGCAATGTTTGCAGTGCAAAACGAATACCCCCCCCAAAAAAACTGTCCAGAAGACAGCTTCCCCCACCCCCACCCCCAAAAAAACCCTTGCTAATAAGGACTGAGCATGCTTAATAGCTACAGAATATTGAGTGACAGCTAGAAAAGAAAAAACAGAATGTGTATGTGTGAGACAGAGAGAGATAAAGAGAGGGAATTGGAATACTCTGCTTGCAGGGAATGGCTGAAACCCTCCCTTCAGTCCCTTCTTAGAGCACTCTTTTTAGGGGAGAAGACACGCTGCAACATTTTGTTTTAGGCCCCTCTTGGGTCTGGGTTACTGTGTTCTTGGCCGTAGACTTACTGGGCAACCCACATGAGCTAATGAGGAGGCCATTGATTCAGCCACACTCAATCATGGTGTGTTTTTTTGTATTTGTCAACTTCCCTAAAGGGCACTTTATTTGCCCTGCTCAAGTTTTGTTTCGAGCCTCCCCCACTCTGCTGCTCTTGTTTGTGTAGGTTGATGTGATTTGGCATCATTTGAAGATTTCTAGCCAGTGGGAAGGTAGAGGCACGGGGGCATCGCAAGTCATGATGGACGAGCTTCTGCGGAGTTCTGAGCCTGGCAGTTTTTCACGGTTCTTGCTCACAAGCTGCCTCGTTCTAATCAGCCCTGTCAATTCCTCACTTTAATGAGCATCACCAAAGCCCACCTGATTATTCCTGAAAGAATGGTGTGTTTGGCCCCTCCCCAGCTTATGAAAACCCTAATAGCCAGGATGTGGCTTGGGGAAATGAATGCACACAGGGAGGAAAGAGATGCTGAAAGGCAGTGCGTCTGACAACAACAACAGCATCGCTGGCGCCAGTGCCTGAGCTGGGTCTGTTCTCTTAAGCCCTGGCCTTGAGAGAGTTGGGTTCTCCCCGCACCTTCTCTACCTGCCTGCACACACCCACCCTTTCTGCTGTGGGATACCCACACCCACAGGCTCTCTTGAGAGGCTTCTGGCGACAGAAATGGGGCAGGAAGAGTCAACCCTGTGGGACTAGAGCGGCCTTAATCTTTCTGTTCCTCTGCAGCAGGCAGGCTGCTAACCCTTTGTGAGGGGGGGTTTTGTTTGTTTCAGAGAGACAGAAGCGCAGGTGAACATAGGCCAGCCTTAGCCACTGCAGATTCCTCCCTTTCTTAGCCTTTGCCACAGCTTTTTAACAGGGCAATGCAATACTTAACTCAGACCAACACTGCTACTTTTTGATGGTCTCATTTCTCTCTCTTTCCCGCCACAGTTTTCCTAGTGGCTTGTTCAGCAGTGAGTGTTTCCAGGAGTTGAGAACAAAGGCGTTACACTAGGGTTGGGCACAGCTTTGGCAACTTTCTGTGGTGATGTCAGAACTGACATATTAAAACCCAAGAGTCCTGTTGGATCCAGCTGAGGCCTTGCCTAGCCCAGAATCTTTTTCCATCCCTGGCTCTGTTGTTTTGAGAAGTTCAAGGGCAGGGCAGGAAGGTACCAGCCCCCTCCCATGGTATCTGGGATTATAGGTTATGTATATGCCAGCAGTCACATTTGCATGTTGTTGCACACATCAAAGAGGGGGTGGGGATATCTCCACACAATGCACATTACCTGTTTGGTTTCCCTACATCTGGAACCAACTCCTCCCCATGAACCTGCCACCTGCACATGCACAATGACTGTCTGAAACATGCACACCTCAGCTTCGCTGTGAAGTGAATGTGGCTCATGTTTTCAATGGGATGGAAGCTGGTTTCAGGCAAATGCATTAAACAGCAGTACACGCAGGTCTCTCTATCCGAACACAGAGCATTCTCAGGAAATAGTTTGTTAGACAAGCTTCTTCTTCTTCTTTGGCGACCACTCGTGGCCAGGTAAGATTGTCTTCCATGAACACGGTCTTAACAGTTACAGTGGTACCTCAGGTTAAGTACTTAATTCGTTCCGGAGGTCCGTACTTAACCTGAAACTGTTCTTAACCTGAAGCACCACTTTAGCTAATGGGGCCTCCTGCTGCCACCGTGCTGCCGAAGCACAATTTCTGTTCTCATCCTGAAGCAAAGTTCTTAACCTGAAGCACTATTTCTGCGTTAGCAGAGTCTGTAACCTGAAGCGTATGTAACCTGAAGCGTATGTAACCTAAGGTACCACTGTAGTCTGTAAGTGACTGTGGAGGCCAATTCTGGATCCACACGTTCTTTCATAGTGGGGACATAGGTTTCCAGGCGGGAGTTGATCACTGTGAGGGTTTGCCAAGTGTGTCTTCTTCTTAGCATGTTTTTTCCTTTTGTCCTGAGTTTGAGCATCTTCAAAGTCCATGACACCTTTGGTAAAGGCTGTTCTCCAATTGGAGCGCTCGCAGACCAGTGTTTCCCAATTGTCAGTGTTTATACTAAAAGGAAAAAAAAAAGATTTGCTTTGAGTGAGTCTCTAAACCTCGTTTGTTGACCACTAGTATTACACTTTCCATTTTTAAGTTCAGAATAGAGTAGGGCCTGCAAGACGGAGCTGTTCTGCCAGGTCTTTGATCAGGGTCCAGTCTGACCCCCCTCTTTTTACAAGACCTTGCATATACAGTGGTGCCCCGCAAGACGAATGCCTCGCAAGACGAAAAACTCGCTAGACGAAAGAGTTTTCCGTTTTTTGAGTCATTCCGCAAGACGAATTTCCCTATGGGCTGCGAGTTTGTTTCCTTTTTCTTAAAGCCGCTAAGCCGTTAATAGCCGCTAAGCTGCTAATAGCCGTGCTTTGCAAGACGAAAAAACCGCAAGACGAAGAGACTCGCGGAACGGATTAATTTCGTCTTGCGAGGCACCACTGTAAGTGGCCTCTCTAACTTTTCTCAGTGCCTCATACAAATAACTGAGCCTGGTGAGCACTTAATGTTCCCAACCCTTATAGTTATAAATTGTGGGGTTGCCATCTGATTTATTCTGATTTTAAGCTGATTTTAAGCTGTATTTCAGTCAATTGCTGGATTTTATGTTTTAATGTATTATATACTTTGATGTTAGCTGCCCTGAGCCCAGTTTGGCCAGGGAGGGCAGGATATAAATTTATTATTATTATTATTATTATTATTATTATTATTTATTTGGAAGACAAATAAAGGCATTCTCGGGAAATAGTTTCTTAGCTGAGGATTCACATAGCAAGTCTATGATTTCCATTTATTCCTATGGGAAAATTTCTAATGCATTCCTGACCACAAAATTTTAACCCAGTAAAACATTCTGAAACCTTGCAAAAAGCAAACAAGGAAGGAAAAATGCTGTCTTATTTGTCTGATCTCTCCCCCTTCCTCCCACCACACAAAAACTTAGGATTGTTTAAGCTGCTTATTTGGTTTGAGTACTTCATGCAGTGCCAACAAAGGTCCATATAGGGAAAGCCATGGTGTTCCCAGTAGTGATGTATGGAAGTGAAAGCTGGACCATAAAGAAGGCTGATCGCCGAAGAATGGATGCTTTTGAATTATGGTGCTGGAGGAAACTCTTGAGAGTCCCATGGACTGCAAGAAGATCAAACGCATCCATTCTTAAGGAAATTAGCCCTGAGTACTCATTGGAAGGACAGATCGTGAAGCTGAGGCTCCAGTACTTTGGCCACCTCATGAGAAGAGATGACTCCCTGGAAAAGACCCTGATGTTGGGAAAGATGGAGGGCACAAGGAGAAGGGGACGACAGAGGACGAGATGGTTGGACAGTGTTCTTGAAGCTACCAGCATGAGTTTGACCAAACTGCGGGAGGCAGTGGAAGACAGGAGTGCCTGGCGTGCTCTGGTCCATGGGGTCACGAAGAGTCGGACACAACTAAACGACTAAACAACAACAACTACACGCAGGTCCTGCTGTTTGGATATCTGAATCTGAAGTATGTATAGTGAGGTTACTCATGTTTGGATAGCTGAAATTCCATCTAACAAGTGTTGGGATAGCAGGACCTGCATATATTTTTCAAGATAGATATGTATTGTGGCTAACACAATGTGTAAATGGCTCCAAGCAGCAGGAGTGGGAGCACACTGGAGCCAAAGTAAATGATAATGTGTACCCAGGCATAATGTCTCTGAGCACCAGCCCACCATTGGTAAACTTTCCATTCCCAGTCGCCTCCCCAACCTCCTCCTGTCTTTCTCTTATTGGTTATCATGCAGAGCACTCAAAAGAGGAATGGAAACACAACATTTGAATTGGTGAATGTTGAGAGTCATCTAAACGTCATTGTCAGTGTTTTATTGTGTATCCAAAAGTGGGGGAAACAGATTAATCTGCAGCTGGTTAGCATTCACATGTGAATGTCAATAACCACTAAACTTTGTACATTCAGTATAACATACATAAATAGGTGTGTTTATCTATTTATTTAGATTTATATTCCATCTCACAGGATGGGTAACAACAGCAAAATAATAATAATAATAATAATAATAATAATAATAATAAATCCATCAGATCTCTCCACTATTTCCCAATCTATATTTAAAAGGATTTTAATAAGATTTTGAGGGTTTTATTCTAATGCACTTTTTTAAAAAAAAATTGTAAGTTGCCCTGAAGGATTTTTAGTGAAAATGAGCAAATAGATAAACCCACTGTACTGGCATGGATTCAAAACGGCGGATACTTTTCATAGCAGGATATTGACTGGTCCTTTGTCAATGATGCAACACTGGTCTGCACCAGACTTAAAAAGAGCTCTGCTGTGAGATTCACCGAATAGATTGTATTGGTTAAGAGATATGCTCTTTTTGTTGCTGCCACTGCCATGTGGTAGTAACTATCAAACTATGTTGTATGAAAAAATAAATAAACCCACCTTCTGTATTGTGTGTGAGCACACTGGAGATGCAACGATGCAGAAGCACTGCAATTTGCACAAAGTTTGTGCCCAGGACAAATCTCAGTGACTTGAACAGAAACCAGAATTGGTGGGATTTAATTTTTATTCTTAGCATTTTAAGAAATAAGTTTTCCAGGTTGAAGAGTGAATTGTGCATTCAGTTATAATTAAGTAAAACATGTTCCTCAACTACCAGGTGTTTGGAGAAACTGGCTTAAGGGTTTGCAATCTCACAACTGTCATTTGAGCCTAAACTCTGCTCCACTCCACTTTTAGCCTGGTTTAAAACTTAGTTTGGCAGCTGCGTGGGTGGCATGCTCAGAAGTCTTAGAACTCTGTGTTATTGCTGGCTTTGCCAGCCATGCGCTATACTCCCTTGCTTCTCCTCCATCTTTCCCAATCAGACTTAATTAAAGTGTTTGCAAGCCACAGCCTGGTTTTAATTACAGTGAAATTGTCAAGATTAGAATGAAATTGGCCGATCATTGTTTACAGCCGCATTGTTAGGGGACACAGCAGGCTGCTGAAATCATCTCCATGCCAGCCATCATAGTGTGAAGAATATGTGAAGCCTCTTAAGTGGAGGTCTGGTTGGCACGTAGCTCATGACTTGTTCCACAGGCAGCAGATGTTAAACTGATATGTATAAAATTGCTGAGTGTCAACACGTTTATCTTTGGCCGAGATCTCAATACAAAGAATGGCCTGATAGGTGGCCCAAAACAGGTACTGCTTTTGTTAATTACATTTTTGCCTCACCGCTCTTCCCTCAAGGTGCCATACGCAAGGTACGCCTCTGTCTCCCCAATCTCAGTGCAATCTTGTGAGACAGGTCAGACTGAGAGAGAGAGAGATTGCCCCAAGGTCAAACTGAAGTAAATAATCAGAATTTAAAGTGAATCATCTGGAGTAAAGCCTATATTCTGCACACAGGAAGACTTGAAAACTAAACTCCGAAATGGCTCTCAGTGTAAAAGCTGTTTCATAAATGGGGGCCTTTTTTTATAAGCCAAGGTCTAGTGTGAAGGAAGATACAACTCCAGTCACAGTGGTACAAGTATCCTTAAGGTGTCAACGTGCAAAAAGGGCAGCAGGGGCGCTGGGCTTCTGAAGGAGAAGAGATTTTGTCAGGTTGGCTTCTTGGGACTTGGTGGTGATGGAAATCCACATAGTCTGGTTTCATGCAATGACCAGACTCAAATGGAACTGTACTGATAATGGCAGAAGTAAACACAATTATGAACCTGGCAAATAGAGGACTACACATTCTTCCCCTGCCAGTTTCCCCATCCCCCTCTCCAAGACAAAAATGGTTCCTTTCAGGTGGGGTAGGAGTAACTAGCAGCAGAGAGGCATCACTAAAATGCAGGAAGCCTTCTGGTTTCTCCTTCACTGTAAATTATGTTCCTGAGCTTGCTCAAGAGCCTAATTTCCCACCAGGCAGCATGGAATTTGCAGTTTCCATTGTCTCCTGAGTTGAATCAATAGGCAGCGGAAATAGCAAATTCCATGGTCTCTAGTCATTGTTTTCTTCCTGTAAGAACCCAAGAGAGCAGGGATGGGGAAACTTTGCCCCTCTAGATGTTGTTCAGCTATGTTTCCCACAATCCCTGCCCGTTGGCCATGCCAGGCGGGACTGATGGAAGCAAAGCGGTATCCAGAGCATCACCTTTGTAGCTGAGGAAGAACTGCATCAAACCCTTTAAAAGGCAAGCCAATGTCTTCGTGGTTTAGCTTGACAACCGTAACATAGGACGAAGCAGATGTGTAGTCGTCTTGTTGTTATTCTTAAGTGGTTTTGCTTGCTAGCCTATTTTATCCTGCCTTGGGGGAAGGAAAAGAGTAGCCGTGCAATTATATGCCCTTTACCCCCTTTTATAATTTGGGGCACTTTATCAGATCTACAGATTGCCAGTATTTACTGTGGTGTATAGACTGCCTTGTATAAATCTCTCTAATGTCCTATCCATCTGGAAAGCTGGTTCATACAGATGGGGTATGGATCAGAAATATTCCTTGAAGGAATAGGATCAAACTGATGTGAACTGAATTCCTCCAGCACTCTTGGCCTAGTGCCACTATGTGTTTCTACAAGCTGTTGGCATCACTCATTTCTGGTTGTAGCAATCAGCGTTGCTGTCAAGGTACTAGGCACGAAAATGAAGTCTTCAACAGAGTTGCCATCACGTTTGTCTGAAACAAAAATATTGATGGGAATTTGGAGGTTCCTGCTTAGGCAAAACATCCAAGGAATTCCTAAGGAAGCAGTAAGAATGTTTCAGTAAGACTAAGGAAATTTATTGGTAGTGGTGTTCCATACATCTTTACCTAAAGCCAACCAAAAACACAATTGCAGGTTCTCAGTTGAACTGTTATTGTGAATATTATCTTCTGCCTCTTACCAGCGTTGCATGTCCTGTTTGGGCTGGTGAAGCAACTCTCCACGCAGTGGGGAAAATGATAATAGCTGCAAAATTTAAATGTCCAGGTGAATTTGGAGGTTTCTGCTCAGGGGGAGCAGATGAGAAATTTTGAGGGAAGGGGGGGGGAAGGAAAGGAAAACAGAAAATAATTTAGAGTGTGGCTCTATGTTTATGCAGAAAAGTCTAATTGAGCTCAATGGGACTTAATCCCTAGTAAGTATACTTATGTCTGTAGTCTTAATTGCATTTTTTTCCAGGGTGTTTTCTGTAAACCCCTGGTTTTCAGAACACTTTGCATGTAATATTTTCAGTTGCTGTTGTTTATTGTTGTTTTCCGGAGATGTCTGTACTGTCAGGTAAGTAAAGTGTGTGAATTGGTATTACATGTTTGTGTGAGTTGGATCCCATCTTGGAAGCATCACACATACAAGGGTGTGGGGAGGAGTATTAGCATAAGAAGCTGCCTTATACTTGGTCCATCTAGCTCAGTATGATTCATTTGATTCAGAACAGCTTTTCAGTGTCTTTGGCAGGGCTCACTTCCCCCTCTGGAACATTTTAAATTAAGCCTGCAATCTTCACACTGCAATGCCTGTGCTTAAGATTGGGTTCATACAGAAACCCAGAACACTCAGAATATTGTGCAGAATTCTCTAGTGCATCAGCCTTCTTCAGGCTTTCTGTCTTTGTGTTAGGGAAGTCGGTGAAGGAAGAGGTGGACCGTAGAGACTAGTGTGCAGCTTGGTCCCCATCCCTCTCCCAGTCTCACTTAGAGCAGGACTGGCCTGAGGTGGACTGAGGCAACCATCTTGGGGGGGGGGTGGAATCCCAAGGGCCAGCGCCCCCCCCCCCGCCACCGGAGGAGCGAGGAGAAGTGGTGGCTTCTGGTGAGATCTTGTGAGACACTTGCAGGTATTGCCACCGCTTCTCCCTTCTCCTGCAACCCTACCACTGTTGCCACTGGGGAAGCAAGGATCAGTGGCTGCCGCTTCTGGGTTCTTTTACTCCTGGAGGCGCCTTGTGTGTTTTAGAAGTCTGGAAAATCAGGGTTCCGAATTGTGTCAAGGAGCCCCCACATGCGTAGGAGGCTCCCCACTTTGGGACGTCACCCTCCAACTTGTGAGGATGGCTGGAGTAGTAATGGAAGTGGAACTAGTGTGCTCGCCCCTGTTGACCCTCCTCTCCATGTGTATACTTAACTCACGACAGACAGTCTGTATTTGAGTTATCTTCAGAGGGTCCTTTATCCCCTTATTCCTAGATGCTGGAAACGTGCTCCTTCTTTATATTAGGAAAAACCAGGCCTGGATCCTGGATACAGTTATAATTGTGCTTACTTTGCCATTACTGTTTTCTTGGCTTTCTCCTCCAGAGAATTTGCTCGCTGGAAGGTGAATAATTTGGCATTGGAAAGGAAAGATTTCTTCAGCTTGCCTCTGCCCCTGGCTCCAGAATTCATCCGCAACATTCGCCTTCTGGGGCGTCGGCCCAGCCTCCAGCAGATCACCGAGAACCTGATTAAAAAATACGGGACCCATTTCCTGCTCTCTGCCACACTTGGAGGTGAATGCTCTCCTTTCTTCCCATGTGTTTTCTCTCTTAAATTCAAAAACTATAGTCTTCAGCCACATCGGCCGAGTACCTGAATTAAGTGTTGTGTTTTTATATTAAAAAAATGTGTTCCAGGCACACCGATATCTCTGTACTACTGTAACAGTTTTATTAATTTATTCATTTGTTTAATTTATGTCCCACTCTTCCTCTTCAAGGAGTTCAAGGTGTGTATCGGTTGTGAGATTGCAGATTGTCAACGTGGGAACAAAAGCTCCTCATCATGTGTACTCAGAATTAAGTTGCATTGAGTTCAGTGGGGCTTACTTCCAATCCATAGATGTGCAACCTTACAGTCCCATGCACTGTATCTTTACTCAGAAGCAGGTCCCATTATACAGTGGGGAGGGGGTTGGTTGCTCCCAAGAAAGTGTGCAAAGGATTGCAGCCAGGCAGTTCGATTCCATTGTATCCATTGTACAAAATGTCCTTGCTGTGCCAGCGCCTAGGCTGGCACCCAGTGCACAGTTGATCATACGATGGCAACCATCGAGCTGCAAGCAGTATGCCTGGTGGTAATGCCCACAACCCTCTTGAACAGAGTCTACGACGATAGTTTTGCGACCCTACAAGTCATGGCACCTTCCCCTGACAACAGTTACAGTCATACTACATCACCTGTCCCCTGGTCATCATAGTGCCACATCTCAGCAGACTGACACACAGCCCACAGGCAGCAGTGCCATGAGTGTGTCGCAGGCAACTCTTCGCAGCTTCGTCAGCAAGGGGAATAAGAAAAAGTAAGATCAGGCTGAACCTCACGGGAGGCCTCTGTGCTGGCACCACAGCTCAGCAACCAATAGTGCTGCTCATACAACAGGGTTCAAATTGTTCAAATTCCTCTTCCCAGCCCAAGCATTATGGCCACACACATATTTTCAGCTCAAGGCAGAACTGGCATGGAGAAGCAGCCACACATTTCAAAGCCTGAGGGAAACAAACATTGACTCCAGAGTCTTTTACACAAAGGTCAACATGGCCCTTTTGCAAAGTTGTGCCCTCCATATGTTTTGGACCCAACTACCAAAGCCAGCCTAGACCGAAGCTTAGGGAAGGTGAAGTCTGAAATATCTCTAGGGCAGCCGGTAGGGGAAGGCAGCCAAGAGCCCTACACTTCAACAGAGCTTCTGGATACTACTGATTTCTATGCACATATATTTATGGGCACTCAGTGGGGAGACCATGTTGAATGGAAAAGTGCAAAGGTGGATAAAACTGGCCTGGCATGGGGAAAACCCAGGCTCCCCACACTCAAGAGCCACTCCATGACTTCTTAGTCACAGAGGCGGGCATGTATCACTGCCATCCTGGCTTTAGTGGGTGCCCCGCCCATCCTGCACTTGCTACCGCTGGTCATATTTTGTTTTGCTTATTAAAATCTATATACCATTTTTCATACATAATAGCCAAGTGGTATACAAAAAAACCATACCAAAAATAATAATAAAACTCAAATTAAGTCAATGGTAGGAAACTAAAAGGAAATGAAATCCAACTGGCCCTGCAAGGTCAGGAAAGGCCTCCACGAATGTGTTTTCTTCAAGTACTGAAATTGCATTTGGAGCACAGGCAGTTCCACAGGAAGGCTGCCGCTACAGCAGTGTTTCTCAAAAAAAGTTCTCTGGGCCACACTTTTGGAATAAAAATTGGCTCACACCACACCAAATTTTTAATTGATAAAAAATACACCTGAAAACAAAAAGAAACAACTCCTAGCAGCACTTGATTTATAACATAAAACACAACTACTTAAAATATCATCACAGGGCGTCCGGAAAGTATAAAATAATGCAGCTACATAACAACATGAATCCTTCGTGAACTATAATATTGGATTGTTCTTGAATCTTCCTGCCACATCCTTTGAGAAGCGCTGTAGCGAACCTCTGCAGGTCGCAGCATTGCCAGGTTGGCCTCATCCGACGATCTTGGTGGGGTGAGAGGCACTTTGTCTGGTAAGCTTGATCCCCAGTGCATTGTGTGCACCAGCACAGGCAGATTACAAAGAGGCCCCCCTGGCTCTGTGGGACAGCACAGACTCCACAAGCCCAAGGACCAGGTCTTCCCACCACTAACTCTCCATCAGACCAAGCACAAGACTGTGGTCCAAAGCAGATGAAATGTTTACTTACCATGAGAAAAGCCACAATGGGCAGTCACAGGAGTTGCTTAGTCTGTTCTGTTTTTGTACAGCCCTGCGCTGGGGTCGGCTGAGAGAAGGCACATTGCCAAAGATGAGGGAGCTCCATGGATGAGCTGTACCATCCTGGCTCTTTGTGGTGTTATGGTGGGCTGTTTCTCTTTGCTGAAGCCACCCGCACCCCTTCTCAGTCTTCCCATGTGTCTCCCCACACCTCTTATCACACCGAGCAACTTTGGGAACCTCACGTGGGGCGTTGGGGTCCGCTGAATCGCCCTTTCCCCATAATCTGGCAACAAAGTTCTCACACTAATACAAATTGGCGTGAAGACTTTGTTATTATTGATTAAAGCCGTAGTTCAAGGCAGGGCTTAAAGTAGTGGTATGGATTTTTAGAAATCCATAAGTCATGTCTACTAATAGCAACAAAACAAGCTTGCCAGACAGCTAAAGACAGTTAGTGACATTTTGCTGTGCAAGTGACCAATTGGCTTAAATAATACCTCCTCACTTGCCAAGGCTGCTTTTTCCTCTCCCCTCCTTAGTCTGAACGTGTGTTTTCTGTGTTTTGATCTTCTGTAGGTCTATTAAAAGTCCACTGTGGAACTGCTGTTGACACCCATATATAGAATTAGCATGTTCAAGTTATAAATGGATCTGATTGTGTGTGTGTGTGTGTGTATAAATTGCCCAGAGGCAGGAGGATATCCTCAGTTTTAAATGTGTTTGTGGGAGGGGGGCTATTGTTTTGTTGTTTTTGTTTTAATTATTTGTTTTTTTATCTTGTGAACTGTCCTGAGATCTAATGAAGGGCAGTATATAAATCACAATCATAGCCATAATCATAATCATTGTTAATTTATTCAATGAGAGTTGGCTTAAATGGACCTTCCATAGAAGATACCTAGGGTGCTTTATAAAGCTTGAAGTATGGGCACCAACAAGCATTATGGGGCTCAAGACCAGGAACTGTGTGGATCACGAGTTGGTTCATTCCCCCCCAGTGCCACCAAGGGGACTGGTCAAAGGAAGGAATGGCAAACCTAGAGTTGGAAGGGATCACAAGGGTCATCTAGTCCAACCCCCTACAGTGCATGAATCTTTTTGCCCAATGTAGGGTTCAAACCCACAACCCAGAGATTAAGAGTCTCATGCTCTACTGACTGAGCTATCTATGTTTCTAGAACACTGCTGGGACAGCCTAAAATCCTCTTGATCTGGAGAGTCAGGTGACAAGCAAGGAGCCAATCAGATGCCAGTCCCTGATACAGAACTTCTGGATTTGCTGCGTTCCTCTGCCAAAATTATCCGTATAGTTGAGGGAGGACACCAGGTTTATTAATTTATTAAAACATTTCTATCCGAAGGAATGCAGGTGGCGTTGTGGGTTAAAGCACAGAGCCTAGGACTTGCCAATCAGAAGGTGCTGTTACCTTTGTGGGGCTAAGCTTTGACTCACCTGCTAAAGGTATTTGCCCACCTGTGGACTCCAGATATGGACTGGTGACCATTGAAGGACTTGAGCCAGGGGGAGTGAATTAGCTTTTGGGAGATTGTGGGTGAAGCGAGTCTGCCGGAAAACAAAGCCGTGAGCCTCACATAACAGACAAGGAGAGGCAAGGGGTGATCGTGATGGGATGGTAGTCAACTTTTCAACATTTTCCAGGGACCTGGCTCTGGTTGAAGCTCTCCTGTGAGATGTGCGTTTTGTCCCTTCGTTAAGCTGGTGATTGGACAGTCACCCAAAAGGGACACTGAGCCCAGAGCATCTGAGTCCTGATGTGCAGCTCAGTAAACACTGTGCCTCATGCCTTTGCAGGAGAAGAGTCCCTGACCATTTTTGTGGACAAGCGCAAGCTCAGTCGGAAAGCGGAAGCCGGCGGCCTGGCAGGAAGTGGTGGGAGCAATGCCACCGTCTCCTTGGAAACCCTGCACCAGCTGGCAGCCTCATACTTCATTGATCGGGAGAGCACTCTGCGACGCCTCCATCACATCCAGATAGCAACAGCTGCCATCAAGGTAACCCTGGAGGCGAGCCAAAAGGCAGGGGGACGTTCCGTAGCACATGAAACCGTTGGCTTCCAAGGCATCTCTGTGTAGAGCGTGTTGCTGCAATCTAGGCCTTGATTGGGTCACCACTTCAGCATCAGGGGGAAAAGAGAGAGAGCAGAATAGGCCACAGATTTGCATAAAACGTGCATCTGCTAATTTATATGTGAAGGTGTAAATTTAGCAGTGATAACTATGATGCAGTGCCCCCTATGCAGCTGCCCAATTCATCTGATTCTTCCTCTTCAAGAATAATAATTTAATAATATTTTTAAATTTATATCCCACCCATCTTGCTGGGTTTCCCCAGCCACTGTGGGCGGCTTACAACATATAAAAACCCCACAACAAAGCATCAAATATTAAAAAACAAAATATCTTATACAAGCAACAAACAAACCAATAAATCAATAGAAACCCATAATAACAATAACAATAATAAACAGTTCACAGTTATACCCAAATTAAAATAACCGCCAACCCCAACTAAGCATTTAAACAACATCAACCCGACAAAAACAAAACAGAGGAACCAACATTAGAAACATTTTAAAACATCTTCGAAAGAGGGAGGAGATTGCCCCGGTTAAGGTTCCACATGAACAGGGCTCTGCTGTTACTGGGAATGAGTGGGAGGGGCCCATGTTTGCTCCTCCCCCTCATGCACACCATCTTGGACTGGTCTTGCTTGAGAAGTTTTGGCTAAACTTAGGACTTGTAACAGGGGTGATTTGCGGGGAGCAAAATTTTGCATTTGAGGGGGTTTGTTATTGGCGGCAGCCGCTGTGGCCAAAAACGGTGGTAGCACTGGGTCTTGTCCCAGGGCTCACTGCCTGTCATTTCTCAGAATGAAACTCAATCATGAGGTAGTTTGCTTCCTGGGGAGTGGGGGAGATGGCAACTCTCACCGTTAAATGCAAGGGGGCTTGTGCGGTATCCATCATTCCTCCACACCCCAAATGCTCTGCTGGGAGGCCACTGCAGAGGAGGTCTGAGGAAAAGAAGGAAAAGAAACTGCACAGCTGATAATAATAATAATAATAATAATAATAATAATAATAATAATTTATTATTTATACCCCGCCCATCTGGTTGATTTTCCCAGCCACTCTGGTTGGCTTCCAACAAAATATTAAAATACAATAGTCCGTCAAACATTAAAAGCTTTCCTAAACAGGGCTGCCTTCAGAGGTCTTCACACAACCGATCACTGAAAAATTGCCTTTCTGTCCTATTTTTGCTGCTTGAAATTGGAACTGCAGGTTGGGGTGTGTGTGTGTGTGTGTGTGTGTTTGTTTGTGGGGTGGGGGTGGGGTGGGGGGTAGAGTATTGCATTCCAAGATATGAGTATGGGCTGTGAGTATAATAGAGAGGAGGTTTGGCACTGGTTATTACTTATGTCACAGTAAACACAGTATACAGAATGTCCTTTTTGTTGTTGTTGAGGGTGGTTTATTGTGCGTGGGATAAGCAAGATACATACCACAAGGGACCCTTGGAGGATTCACAGAAAAACCATCTCACGCTTTTGAAGGATCCACATCCATCAGGACACGTCGTCTTGTATGAGGGATGGAGCAGGTTTCATTCTTGCTGTGAAATTGTCCCCATTAAACGGAGGAAGGTAATGGGGTTGTAGGTGCTTAGCACACCGCCTGCCCCTGTTGATCCCAGGTATAGAGAAGCATTCAAGCCTGCTCCTTTCTGTGTCATCCCATTCCAGATTTGGTTCCTTGGTCACATGACAGTGTGGCAGGATATTGGAAAATGGGAGGTATCCTAATCATGACCTCGTTCTTTGAGTGCAGGTCATTATGTAACCAAAATGGCACCATCTCCCTATGAGATGGAGAGATCAGCAGGGCTTGCAGATGTGCAAAACATATGGGGGGGGGAGCCCAAAGGGCAGGGGTCAGCAGTTGTTTGACCCTGCTAGGGCACTTGCTGATCAGCCTCACCCAAGACTGCACCCCAGAGCCAAAGTCAAGAAATCCCTTTCCCAGCCCCACTAACTGATTTTCTTTTCCTTTTTTTTAGGGGGGAGCAGGATTCCAATCCCCCAGCTCCCTCCAACAGTCAGACTCAGACCAGAAAAGACGCTTGTTTTCCTGTTCCATTTCATTTTGTGCAACAACTCTGCTTTTACCCCCCCCCCCTTAGCCACTCTCCCCCTGCCTGCCTGCCTGCCTGCCTGCCCACCCGCCCCATCACATATGCCTGGATTTTAATTTGCAGGTTGCTTAAGCAAGGCTGCCATCCCTGAGATCTGCTACCCAGCTCTGCAATTATAAACCTATCGCTTTAGTCAGCCTTCCCCTCTCCCATTCCACTCCACCCCCCCCCCCCGCCAAGGAAACAGGAGGGGCAGCAAGCAGGGAGTCAGACCACAATTGGCGCCTTTGTGCTATTTGTGGGAAATCGGCCATGCTAATGATGGTGAGCTTTCATGGGGGGGCGGTGGCTAGAGGCAGGGCTGTTCTCCATCAGCAGGCCAATTACTGCACAATTATTCCTCCTTTTTAGAAGCAAAGTGGCCTCTTGCATTCTCATAAGCCTGGAGTGCTTGGCTCAAGTTTTACTGTTTCAAAGCGCTCTCTCTCTCTCTCTCTCTGTTTTGTCGCATTTAATGCCACTTTTTGTTGGATTTCTGTGTTTATACACCCACCCACAGTTTGAGGATGTTGAGGGTAATTCAGTGTAAACAGGGCCAGCTCATGAGGTTTCAATGTCCAGTGTAGAAAATCCAAATGTCCTCTCCCCCCCTCCTCCACTAGTTGAACATGGGTCCCATCCACCAGCAATGTTTTGCCTGCGAGGCTCAATTGAAACAAACATGAGCTGTGCAAGAATCCACACTCTTCCTGTGCTTCTCCCATTCATTTTGATGAGACGTGCAAAGGAGACAGTCCTGGTGGATTGTGCCCAGTGGCACATATCTCTCTGTCTCTCACTCTGCTGGCCTTAACGGCACACAAAATCTGCTTCCATGCTTTGTCGTAGGACCGCTTCTGTGTGCAAAATGGCTCAAACCATACGAAACTCAAACCATACAAAAATGCAAATCAATGTATACAAGCAATTATGCCTGGCTTAACCCCAGCTCCCGGCAAGCCAGCCTAAATAGTAGTTTCAAAATATCCCTGGCTAAGCTTCTAAAGATTGCATGATTTCCCTCCATCTGGAGCTTAAGTCTTGTGCACGTGGAGATACACACTTTCGCCTTCTTGGAACGTGTTTCTATCTCTGCCTCTCTGTTCACCCCATTGTTTGTGGCTTTAGAGATGACTACTAAAATGTGAGGTGGCTAGGCTGAAGTCACGCTAACGCTCATAGTTCACACACACACACACACACACACACACACACACACACACACACTTTCTTGGAGGACTTGAATGGAGGGTTTTTGTTTAAGGACCAAAAGAAATGCAGTTGTGAGGAGGGGGTGGTGTGAATGTGAGCAGAGCAATAGAGGATCTTGAAAATACATGGGGTATTTCTCCACTGGGAGAAAACCAGCCTTTGGGGAGGGTGAGGGTCGAAGAGAACATTGGGAAAGGGCTCTACTTTCCAGGTAGAATGGTAGAATTGTAGAGTTGGAAGGGACCATGAGGATTGTCTAGTCCAGCTCCTTCAGCAGCTGTCCCATATGGGTATCGAACCTGCAACCTTGGCGTTACTAGCACCAAATTCTGTCATCAAAACATATGCACACAATTCAATCTAATGTTCAGAGCAGGTATGTTAAGGATGGGCAAAGGTCCTTTTATCTTTGCATTTCAGTTGTTTATGGTAAAGCTGCCCTCTTCTATTGCTTAGGTCACTGAAACCAGAACGGGGCCACTTGGCTGCAGTAACTACGACAACCTGGATTCTGTGAGCTCTGTTCTTGTCCAGAGCCCTGAGAACAAAGTTCAACTTCTCGGTAAGGATTTTTCTCCTTCCACCTTCCTGGAATTGCATCCACATTATCCACTGGACACTAACTGGACTCATCTTCTAACTTGCTCACAAGGTGGAAATAGCAATCCTAAGTTTAAATGCATTTGTCTTGGTGTGTTGCTTGCTCCTGGCTCACAATCTTCACCTCCTTTCCATGGCAGAAGGCCTCAGAACGGGAACTGAGTTAGATCACTCTGCACCCTGAGTTGAAGGCTTAAGCCCAGCTACCATGGCTGGAACTGTTTCCTGGCCCAAGGCAGATTCTGCATAGGGATCCCTTCATTTATATCTGTAACTTACCTTCAGCTCTGATCACACTCAAAATCAATCAGAGGATGCGCCTTTAAGTCATGGATCATGCAAACTCTTGCAGGCTTGCTGACCACCTGGGTGAGTCATATGACTGCACCACATACACAGAAACAAAGTTATTTGAATGTGTGTGTTCTTTCATTGAAGAACACACAGTGCTTGTGTATGTTACAGGGGTAAATTGGGGTTAAATACTGAGGATTCTGCATATTTTTATGAAGATGTGGAGAAAATCCATAATCAATAAGAATCAACAAGAAGTTTGGAATATCATCCATTCAGTGCTTTTTAAAAACAAACACTAATGGATGCTATAGAATCATGGACCAAAGACATGAAGTCCATCGTTTTGTTAATATGTGTTGCCTCCAGTAAATTTTGTATATTGCCCATGCAATGTTCCGTCAGGCAACTGGACTAGTTTTGTCTACTCTTGCTGAAGATAGCATATTCAGACAGAGGCCATGCCCAGGACTTCTCCCTGAGGTCCATTTTAGCCAGAGAAGCTGGAGCTTGCCTGCCCCTGGGACCATCTGCTGCTCTGCTGTGGAAGTCAGAGCCCTCCCTTAATTCACCTTCTTTTGATGTGTGCACAGTCACCAGGGCTTGTCCTCAGTCTCCAGCCAACTCACCTTAAGCATGTGCAGGTGTGGGACTTTTCAGTATACGCACAAACAGATAAAACTCACAAATCAATGGAGTTATGTTCTTTTGCAACATCTAAAGGGCAGATATCATGAAAGAAGCCATTGTTCCATAGAGTGTTCCATAGGTCGAAAAAATCTGCTAGGGAAGTGAGTGTAGCTCTTTGGTTTCCATACGGGGTGCCAACTTGAATAAAATATTGTGGGGGCCCAGGTAAGCCCCGCCCCACGTAATCGATCACATGATGCGGTGAAAGCACACCATTTGAATGGCAGTGCCCATCACCTTTGGGAGGGCCCCTCAAATATTTTATTGGGGGGTCAAACCCCCTCGGCCCCTAGGAGGTGGCTCCTAAGTTTCCATAGTACCTGTTTTTCCTTGATACAGATATGGCTGAGCTGAGGTCTGTAATGTCTCTGCCTACTTTTCGCAGGCCTGCAAGCCCTGTTGCCCGAGTACTTGCGTGAACGCTTTGTGGCTGCTGCCTTGAGCTACATCACCTGCAATTCGGAGGGGGAGCTGATATGCCGAGAGAATGACTGCTGGTGTTACTGTGGGTTCGGTTTCCCACAATGCAACTGCCCCGAGGCTGACATCCAGGCTATGGAACAGAGCCTTTTTCAGATCCAGGGAGTTTGGGAGAACCACAACCAACAGTTTCGGGAATCAGGTGAGTTTGGGAAATGTGGGTCTCATGGGGAACGGGACGATGGGTGGATGATTGCCCACATCCAGTTGACTCAGCAAGGAAGGAGGATGACAGGTGACTGAGGCAAGGAGCCATTCACTGTTGCACCTCTCTTGTGAACAGCCTGGCAGAGAATGCAGATGAGCCGGAAGATGAAGGAAGCAGTGAAGGCAGGTCTTGTGAGATGCCAGCCACTGCAACAACCACAAAAAGGGCAGGCAAATTTACTAAGTGAACCAGAGAAGACTAGGAAAATGAGGGGAGGCAAAGATTGGCTGAGTGTGTGGTGATGGAGCTAAGCTTGAAGATAAACGTCTGGAAAGGGAGAAAGACAGCAGGAGGAACTGGAAGCAATTTTGGGAACCTCCTTTAAACTCTGTTGAAAACCAGAACCTATAGTTTGTAAAAAGAGCCAGCTAGGAGGTGCTTGACCATTGATGGTTATTGACATCTGGAGGTCAACCAGCTGAACCTGAGGGAGAGTGGCAGTTCTGGGGCTCTGAGGACTTCCTTAAGTAAATTAGCAGCAGTGGCTTTTCCTAAACTTTTATGTTAGAAGAAGGTAGACACAGCATTATTTTTTAGAGTCGTGGGGCTAATTCAAATGTGTCATCAATGTGTTCAGTACAAATAGATATTTTCCAGCCCCCAGGTTAATTCTGCATATTTCCAGCATGGTCAGTTAGGAAAAACAAAATGTTCATGATCATACTACAAGTAAAACAGCTGCTGAGAACAGCTTAAACATATAACCACTAAATCGGTGTATTATAAAACCAAAAATAAATTGATCAGAAGATAAGTATGAACCTTATCAAGGCAAATAAATAGATAAATACACATGCAAAGCAATTATTTTAATAATAGCCGAAGAAGAAGAAGAAGAAGAACACTCATCTGCTGATATAATTTTCAGTAAAAAAAAAGTGCTTTAAAGGTAGCTGAAATCATGAAGAAAGTCTGCGGGGAAAACACTATTGGCTGACAGGAGTGTTTCATCACCCCTTTGTTCCTGCAGCTACTGCTGAACGTTTGAAGCTATTTTGTTGGATTTTTAGGCCCACCCCCCCCACCCCCGGTCCTTTCATAGCTCTCATGTCACCTGTTAAGCTCTTAGGTGAGCAAATTGGAGAAAGATGGTGACTGTTCCTCCAGCTGCTGTTACTCATTGGGCTTCCTCTAGTTTTTCCTGACAAATCTGCTGTCACTTTGTGTGGAGCACAAAAGTCTTTTTTGTGTGTGTGTTTTTCAGCAGGCTTTTTGAGGCTGAGAAGTTTTCAGCCCTTATTTTGGTGGGAGATATGGAGGGGGCCAGTAGTGATGTATGGAAGTGAGAGCTGGACCATCAATAAGGCTGATCGCTGAAGAATTGATGCTTTTGAATTCTGGTGCTGGAGGAGACTCTTGAGAGTCCCATGGACTGCAAGAAGATCAAACCTCTCCATTCTGAAGGAAATCAGCCCTGAGTGCTCACTGGAAGGACAGATCGTGAAGCTGAGGCTCCAAGACTTTGGCCACCTCATGAGAAGAGAAGACTTCCTGGAAAAGACGCTGATGTGGGGAAAGATGGAGGGCACGAGGAGAAGGGGACGACAGAGGACGAGATGGTGGGATAGTGTTCTCGAAGCTACCAGCATGAGTTTGACCAAACTGCAGGAGGCAGTGGAAGACAGGAGTGCCTGGCGTGCTCTGGTCCATGGGGTCACAAAGAGTCGGACACGACTAAACGACTAAACAACAAGAAATGAAGGGGGCACCAAGGAAGCCCTTCTTCACCCCCACCACTAAGGATCTGGGGAGGGTGGAGAGGTGGAGGACAGAAGGCAGGGGAAGGCACTGGTTGTACTGGGTGAATGCAAGACTTCTGCAGCTCCCAAGAAAGTGATGGCACAGTCATCAGGTAAAGGCAGGAGAGAGGCAGTAAAAGTGCAGCTAATTAGCAATAGCTGGAGCAGAGTTCCACTTCCCTCTGTTCTAAAAGAATTCTACTTGCTCCTTCAGGGCTTGCAGGATTTTGAGGCCCGACAGATGACAGCAAAGCTATAAAAAATGAAAATAAAGTAAGAAAGAAACCCAATAGAAGCCAAAATCTTAGTGATAGCTGGGGAAACAAAATGGGGAGGTCCTGCCAGCCAATGCTGGCAAGGAGGAGTAGAGGCTGCAATCTGTGATTTTGCAAGGCTAACGTTTTCTTGGAAACAGTGAATTCTAAAGTAGCAATCCTTGTTCTTCTAATTACTGAGTATGTGATTCAATGGTACTATGGGGCTGAAATAAGTGGCATAGCGTGGGTTGCCGGCCCCCGGGGCGGGGCAAGTGTTGCGCCGCCTCCAATGGACCGGGCAATGGTCCCTTCACCAACCAGAGTCTAATCAAGGGAGTCTCTCCTTGCAAACTCATCCCAACCTGGGAGCAGAGATAAGGCACAGAAACACGAAAACAGGAACACCACTGTGTTGCCTCGCCCTCCTGCCTTTGCAGTGAGGCACTCTGGGCAATGCATGTGGCTCTGGCAGTGCTTTCTGACCTTCCTCTTCAGTGGGCAGCAGCGGCACCCTCCCCTCCCTCCCAGCTGTCCCAGGGTGTCCCCTCACTGGCCATGAGGAGGAGGAGGAGGAGGAGGCAGCGCCACCCCCAACCCCAAAGGCCCAGCCTGGGCAGAGCTTGCTTCCCACAGCTCTGGCCTCAATGAGGGAGCTTGTTGTGGGGGCACCTGATTGCGCGCCCTCAGAAATTTGCACCCAAAAGACTCATGGCTCCCTTGCCCTCCCATGCTATGTTGTGGGCTGAAATGAAAATCTGAAAGCTAACAGAACTTGCCATTCCTTTCCACAAACAGAGGTTGATTGGAAAGAGATAAGAGGAGTACAGTAACTCATACAGGGAGACAGTGGACAACCCTCCATCACGGAAGAGTGGAGCCTTGCAAAAGGCACTGGTTATTAACATAATCCTCACACTTTTTTGGAAATTAATCTGGGTTATGAGTGGGGCTGGGCTGAATTCTTTAAAAAAAACCATTTGAACTGTAAATTTCTACTTTTGTTTTTAAAATGGTATCTTAGTTTTCTATTATTTATATGGTGCCATCATTTCGCGAGGTGCTTTACAGAGCAACAGTGGCGGGGGTTGGGGGAGACAGGCCCTGCCCCTTGGAGCTTACAGTCTTAAATTCAACACAGGAGGGAGCTGCAAAGCAAGGTGGATGGAAGGATAACAGAGGAGGAAAAAGAATATATTCAGTTCAGTTGCACATATTTGGGATGGGCTGATGACATTTTTATTCACTGTAAATATGGGTTAATCTAAAAACAAAGTTAGTCAATACTATAGCCTCAAATACAGGATACTTATGGAGTTTATAAAAAGCATGCTGACATCCCACCTCCTAAAACAAGAGACAAAATATTGGATTCATCTTCAATAACATTAATCCGACAAAAATTGTTTTTCCAATAATTTATTTCCCAATACTGTCTGAATTTCCAAAGAATGTCAAGGTGATGGTGTGATATATATATATATGTATTCTTCCTTTCCTACAATCTAATATGGGATGTCAGATTTAATAAATCTGTTGTAAGCCAGCAGTTATTTCACCACGGCTGTATGGCTGGAGATTAACGCTGCCACCCTGTGCACATGGGGACTGTCAGCGGCTGAAGGAGAGGCAAAATAAGTCAAGGCTTCGCAAGTAGAGGCAGCCTGTAGCTCTTGCCTCCCAACGTGTTTGCCTGCAATCTCTTCCTGTCTCCTCTGCTGGTCTCCATGGGCAGAGCCCAGCTTATAGGTGGCGCCGGATGCGGTGTGCCACGTGCAGTCAGCTTCTGAGCCTATGCATACAAGATACAATCCAAAGAGCTTAAAAAACAGATGAAAGCAAAACAGAAAACAGCAGATACTGTATATTTGGGAGGGGGAGAGACACACAGAGAGAAACAAAAAAAGATGCCTGTTCACCCAGCTGGGAAAGTCTGTCGGGGCAAAAATTTCTTCAGTTGTTTCCAGAAAGTAGATGTCTGTTGTGTCTTGACAAGGAATGTTGCAGCAATTGTAAAGAAATGCAATGGTTTTCCTAGAATCATAGAATTGGAAGAGACCATGAGGGTCATCTAGTGCAATCCTCTGCAATGCAGGAATTTTCTTTTGCTCAAAGTAGGGCTTGAACCCACAGCCCTGAGGTAAGGGTCTCCTGCTCTACAGACTGAGCTACCCACTCTGTTCTATATTTGCTATATAATTTAATCAGTGTCCCCCCCCAAGTATTTCAAAATACGAAATATTCTGAAATAGCAATTAATGGGAAACAACCTTGCGTTCACTTCTGTCATCCTCACTGTGAGATAGTGGTTTAAAGACACAGTCCTTCCCCAAATGGAGCGTTAGCAGGGAATATATATATCACTGCTGCATAATTTGCCTCTGAATAACAGATACCAAAATGTACTGGGAAACAACAAGTAACTGTGTCCACACCTACCTGGTTTTGCCTGTTGCAGTCTAGGCTGATGATGGTTCAGCCCTCTATTTTTGCATTTGTCCCCTAGGGTACAGCCAGGTCGTTCACACATCCTCAAGCGCCTTCTGCATCTTTTTCTTGGAGCATCTAAGGCAGCCTTTCTCAACCTGTGGGTCCCCAGATGTTGTTGAACGACAACTCCCATCACCCCCAGCTAGCGAGGCCAGAGCTCAGGGATAATGAGAGTTGTAGTCCAACAACATCTGGGGACCCACAGGTTGAGAACCAATGATCTAAGGGCTTACTCTCCCCAGGGCACCACCTGCAGCCCTTTTTTGCTTCTGCTGAGAGAGTGCACTGTGGGTATGTCACAAGGAGTGGCATGGAAGAGCCTCTGCATAGAGGAAGCACGAATAGGGAGAGGAGGGATGTGCTATAGCTCAGTCAAGCTCCTCTGCACCCTGTTCTTTCTGAAAAGGGAGAGAAGGATTAGAGTCCCAGGTGACTCATAGAACCATAGAATTGTGGAGTTGGAAGGGACCCCAGGTTTCATCTAGCCCAACCCCCTGCAATGCAGGAATCTCAGCTAAAGCATCCATGACAGATGGCCATCCAGCCTCTGGTTAGAAACCTCAGAGGAGGGAGATTCCACAACCTCCTGGAATCAAATGATAAAACTGCCCCATTTCCATTGTTACTCGAGTTTGCTATGTGCCAGGGATTTTTTTCCCTTGGAGGAGCCCCAAAGCGATACAGACCAGGTCAAGATTTACCACTTGGTCCTCTACCTTCTTAAAGGAGTGGTGACTTTCCAGGTGTCGAGTGTTGCTTTCCAGTGCTCTCCTTCCTGCTGACATCCTGTTCTGTCTTGGCAGAGGAACTACAGTCCCTGGTGAAGAAGTTCCCTGTGGACCACTTCTTGAACTTAACAGCCATCTCCCAGTACTGGGCAATGGATCCTGATATTCAGCACCGCTATCAGAAGTTGGGCAGCACCTTGAAGATGCTCTCCAAGAAGACCCATCGGATTGTCCGGCGTCTTTTCAATCTGGCCAAACGCTGCCACAGGCAACCTCGCTTCAGACTTCCCAAGGAGAGGTCTGGTATATTTTTTGGACAGCTTTGCTTGGGCACAATCCAGTACAAAGATAGATGTGCCTCCAGCCCGCTATGTTCTGTGTGCTGAAGCATGTCTAAACTCTGTTTGGATTGTGGTCGTTTTCTTTTGGGGTCGAAGTGGGAAGGATCTAGTATCTAATATGGAATCTGAAGCCCCCAAGAGGCTTAGTGTTCTACATGTTACACAGACTGGGAAGGAGCTGCATACATACATGTATGTACATACATACATACAGATAGATGATAGATAGATGATAGATAGATATAGATATAGATAGATAGATAGATAGATAATAGATAGATAGATAGATGATAGATAGATACAGTGGTGCCCCGCAAGACGAATGCCTCGCAAGACGAAAAACTCGCTAGACGAAAGGGTTTTTCGGTTTTGCGTTGCTTCGCTAGACGAATTTCCCTATGGGCTTGCTTCGCAAGACGAAAACGTCTTGCGCTTTTTTCTTACAGCCGCTTAAAGAGGTGCAGTTGCGACGGACCGTGCTTCGCAAGACGAAAAACATCGCAAGACGAAAAGACTCGCGGAACGAATTATTTTCGTCTTGCGAGGCACCACTGTAGATAGATAGATAGATAGATAGATGATAGATAGATAGGTAGATAGATAGATAGATAGATAGATAGATAGATAGATGATAGATAGATGATAGATAGATAGAGATAGATAGATAGATAGATAGATAGATAGATAGATAGATAGATAGATAGATGGTAGATAGATATACACATATATACATATACACATGCACACACACATCACTGCCCATCTGAAGGAGCCAACAGCTCCCCTGTTTCCTGACATGCCCCCAAACTAGGGATTGAATTGTGCAACCCTGGAGCTGCGTATACCTCAGTTTCATTTATTTCCCGCCCACAACTGCCAATGGTAGGGTTGATTTTTTTTATTTTTTAACAGGAGGGCAGGATCCTGGCCACCCCACCCTGCACCCTCCTCCCCAACTTAGTGAGTCTAAAATAATAATTAACAAGAGTAATTGTTTCTTATTTATGCAAAAGTGCAATGCGAACATTTTAGCTCAAAGCCTGCTGCTCACACTTATCATTTCCTTTGGATCACGACTGATTCCTTTTTCCTATATGCGCACAGAAAGGCAGGGGAAAAGGGGCCAGCTCCTTCTCATCCCTAGAGCAGGCTTCTCTCATAATTACATAAAGGGATTTCAGGTGACTGAGTTCCATCAAACACTACCAGCCACTGGCAACTTGCCAGTTTACCACCTGCGGAGAAGGTTTCATAATTACAGAACACATGCATGCATCCCTCTCAAGTGGAATTACAGCCCCCTGGTTTTCTATGTGGAAAGTGTGTATACTTTATGCAGTACTAAGGTTTACTGCAGAAGGATTTTGCTTTCTTTTTTAGGGGGTGATTGAAACATGGGAAATGGTTCAGACTAATTATACACGTCTTAGCTGTGTTGATGCAAAGTTAACTTTTCATCTGCTTTGTGCCTTCTTCTGTCAGGCCCTTGACCTACTGGTGGAGCCATGCTCAGTCCCTCCTCTATTGCAGTGAGACCTCTGTGCCAGGAACGTTTGTGGAAGAAAGCCACAGCTGCAGCTGCCCCCATGACCAGCCCTCCTGCCAGGGGACTATCCCATGTGCCTTGGGCGAAGGACCAGGATGTGCCGCCTGTGCAGAGGACAACGCCACCCAGTGTGGGTCCTGCAACTATGGCTATGTGCTCACCCTGGGCCTGTGCCGCCCAGAGGTGGCCGAGTCCCTGGAGCACTATATAGGTTTGGAGACTGACTTGCAGGACTTGGAACTCAAGTACCTTTTGCAGAAGCGGGACAGCCGCATTGAAGTGCACTCCATCTTCATCAGCAATGACATGCGCCTGGGGACCTGGTTTGACCCCTCCTGGAGGAAGAGGATGCTGGTAACCCTGAAGAGCAACAAGTACAAGCCAGGCTTGGTCCACCTCATGCTGGCCCTCTCCCTCCAGATCTGTCTCACCAAGAACAGCACCCTGGAGCCAGTCATGGCAATCTATGTCAACCCATTTGGGGGCAGCCACTCAGAGAGCTGGTTCATGCCCACCAATGAAACTGGCTTTCCCGACTGGGAAAGGACTAACGTGGATGCCTCTGGCCAGTGCCAAAACTGGACCCTCACTTTAGGCAGCAAGTGGAAGACCTTCTTTGAGACAGTCCATGTCTACCTGAGGAGTCGCATCAAGTCTCTCAACGACAGCTCAAACGAAACCATATTTTATGAGCCTTTGGAGATGGATTCTTCCAAGAACCTAGGCTACATGAGGATCAATAGCTTGCAGGTTTTTGGCTACAGCCTGCCCTTTGAGTCTGATGCCATTCGGGACCTTGTCCTCCAGCTGGATTATCCGTATACTCAAGGCTCTCAAGACTCTGCTATATTGCAACTGATTGAGATCAGGGACCGGGTAAACCGCCTCTCTCCACCTGGGAAAACCCGCCTTGATCTTTTCTCTTGCTTGCTCCGGCACAGGCTCAAGCTGGCCAACAACGAGGTAAGTCGCATCCAGTCCACCCTGCAGGCCTTCAATGCCAAATTGCCAAACCCAGTGGAGTATGAGACTGGTAAATTGTGCAGCTAGCCTTGGGAGTGGGGCAGGGCTGTCCTTGTAGCTCCCGGAGGGGAGGACTGGGGAATGAGAAGCCGAGACTTCCAAAGGCCTTACTTTCATGCCAGCCGTGCTCTTCGGCGAGACAGCCAGCTGCCAGCCTGGAAGACTCCAGCGTTTGCAGACTCTGTGGCACCAAACCCGGGGATGAGATGCGGCACAAATCTCTGGCACGACAGCAGCTAAGAAGAGACCAAATGGCAGGGCTGCTGCTGCAAACGTCTTGCTTCAGTTGCTGAGGAGTCTGCCTCGCATCCTCTCTTTTCTTGCAGGCTGCGTTTGTGGAGCATGCAAGAAAATGTACAGGCCTACGAAGAAACCAGGAGATGGAGACATAGAAGGGAGAGGGAGAGAGACATGACTGAGGGCTGAACTTGTGGGAATGGCACTAAAGACTTGGCCTTTGTGATCTGGTCAGCAGCCCTTAAACACATGGAGAGAGGAGCAGCAAAAGGATTGAACGAGGATTCTGTCAAGTGCTTCAAAAACACCCACTTAGGAGAACCGTTCTTTGGCCCTTGCCTCCCCTGGCGCAGTTTACTTTTGTATTGTTTTTATGGGTGTTTCTAACAATGTCATCGCCTTTACATTCTCCGCATTACTTTCTAAAGCTGCCACCCCAAGCACGCTTTCTTGGACATTAGTGGAAGTCCGTTTCTCGCACCAGTGAAACTTGCTCCTCTTAAAGGAATGAGTTTAAGAACACAGTGTCGAGCCCTGATTTCAGCTGCCCGACCACCACCTGGGATCCACAGTTTTGCTTTGTTTCCTGATCCACCCCTTTGGGGTGAGATCTTTTCAGTAACTGGTGAGTGGTAGCATTTGACACATGAAAAGTGTGCCTAAATTGCCCCTTTCTCTCAACCATCCCCAGGGAACACGTCACCCTCTTCTGTTCTATTCACATCGCATGGTCCTGTCACACAAAGCTAATTTCACCAGGGGGGAAATACACTTTTGAAGAGTGTTCCCAGTAGCACACAGGCAGTTTTTAAATGGGTATTCAGAGCCCAATGGATGATTGGCCTTTCAAGCATTTATTTATTATGTATTGGTTTTAACTGATTGGCTTAAAAAAAAAAGTATTTCTGCTTTTGCATTTTTTTTAAATTTGAGTGGGATGTTCATTTTCAGTTGACTCCTCCAGCTGAGTTACACATCTTATCCAAACGTTTGTTTTAATATATTTTGTAAGGGGTGGGATGAGGGAGAAATTGTTATGTTATGTTTTGGTTTGGTTTGGTTTTTTTGGAGGGGAAAAAAGGGAAAGCAGTAAACAAATCAAAATAGACTAAATGGCTTCTTTAATAGATGGAGTGTGGGTGTGTGGGTGTGTGGGTGTGTGGGTGTGTGTGTAAGTGCAAAGACATCTGGGTGCAAAGAAATAGGTCTTCTTCTCTTCTTCTTTGGCGATCACTCGTAGCTGAGTAAGATTGTCTTCCATAAACGCGGGTTTTAACAGTGAGTCCCTAAGTGACTGTGGAGGCCAATTCTGGATCCACAGCTCCTTCCACAGTGGGGACATTGGTTTCTAGGCGGGAGTTGATCACAGTGTGGATTTGCCAAGCGTGCCTTCCTCTTAGCACGTTTCTCCCTTGCGTCCTGAGTTCGAGTGTCTTCAAAGCCCATGACACCTTTGGTAAAGGCTGTTCTCCAACTGGAGCACTCGCAGGCCAGTGTTTCCCAGTTGTCAGTGTTTATACTACTTTTTTTAGATTTGCCTTGAGACAGTCTTTAAACCTCTTTTGTTGACCACCAGCATTACGCTTTTCATTTTTAAGTTTGGAATAGAGTAGTTGCTTTGGAAGATGATCATCAGGCATCCGCACAACATGACCAGCCCAACGAAGTTGATGTTGAAGAATCATCGCTTCAACACTGGTGATCTTTGCTTCTTCCAGTACACTGGTATTAGTTCACCTGTCTTCCCAAGTGATGTGTAAAAATTTTCAAGACACCGTTGATGGAATATTTCGAGGAGGAGTAGGATATGATAGAAATATGTAGTATGGGGTGGATGTGTTTGCAAATTTACACTCATGCAAATGTTTACTCCAGCAGTAACTTGGGCAGTGAGGCACCTCGCCTCTGAACTGTCAGTTTACTCCCCCCTGAAGTAGTAGAGATGAAGTTGTTGCTGGAGTAAACTAGCACCATTTGAATGTGGGAGCACAACTTTACCTTTCCAGGGAACTGATACTGAATGTTGGGCACTGGGTGAAAAATGTAAAAATGATGATAAGGGAACTAGATAAATATCGTCTCACACAGTATATTCTGCTATTCCACCAAAAAGATCAAGGGGGCATTTTTTTTAGCCTCAAAGCAACCTCTCTGGTAGTAGGTGACATTGAGAGTTGGCAATTTATCCACAACCATCTGGTAACATTTTGCCAAAGCAAGTAAATGAATGTTCTAACAGCCACCTGATCAGCTACAGTTTTATGGCATGTTCCAGGCCTAATATGAAAAGCCAATGAGAGTCTTGTGGGAGGAAAAAATGAAACCCTGTGACCCATGAGTGTGGGGTACATAATAAAAGAATTAGCAGCATGACTAGATTCAAAACACAGGGCTAAACTCACTCTCCAGCAGGAGAGAGCCCTGAGGAGCAGTAGAGTCACAAACACAAACAGCAGTATAGTGTTAGGAATATAGGTTGTTTGACCCTTTTATCCCATTTAGTCCACTTGCAAACAGTGCTCCTCTCTTTCTACCCCTCTTGCAATGAAGAGACCACACATTGTTAAGTAAGTTTTAAAAGCTGTACTGTGGTGCCCCGCAAGACGAATGCCTCGCAAGACGGAAAACCCGCTAGATGAAAGGGTTTTCCGTTTTTGAGCTGCTTCGCAAGACGAATTTCCCTATGGGTTTGCTTCGCAAGACGAAAATGTCTTGCGAGTGTTGCGATTTTTTTCCGCTCCCCCCCCCTTTTCTAAGCCGCTAAGCTGCTAATAGCCTTTTAGCCGCTAAGCCGCTAAGCCTTTAATAGCTGCTAAGCCGCTAAACCGCTAATAGCGCTAATCCGCTAAGCCGCTAATAGGGTTGCTTCGCAAGACGAAAATACCGCTAGACGAAGAGACTCACGGAATGGATTAATTTCGTCTTGCGAGGCACCACTGTACTTACAAAATTTTCCAAATGTCAGATTGATGCATTTATTCAAGCAGCAGCAAGGAGAACACAGGCAGAATATTATTGAATAGAAAACACAGAAACATAATCTCAAACACATGCTCTGAGCTTGCAAGCTCACTTAGGCACAATTACATGACATAGAGGGAGAGGGAACAGGAAGAAAAGGCTTCACTTCCTCCCTCATCAGAGAAGAGGGAGTGTGACATAGCTGATTCTAGGAATCCAGCTCTGTTGTCTTAACCCCTCCACGCACTAACTAGCACTCATGCATATTTATGTTTGACTGCAATCTCCCACAAGCCCCACTCCCAATTGATTTTGTGACTTGTCTTACTCCCTAACCACCACAATATGTAGCAGGGGCCAGAATGCAACCCTGCTGTTCTGTCCTGTCTTCTGTACTCTGCTGTATTCCTGCAAGCTAAACTTCACCTTCTCTGAGTTGAAGCTGAAATCCCTGAGAGATGCTGAGATTAGCAATTAAACTGCTCCCTTAGCTGATGCTGGAGGACCTAACCATCTCATAAGAAAACATACCTGCTCTCTTGCTGCATATCCCGGTTATTCCCCCTCTAGTACACACAGCTGCTACGGTGTGTGTGTGTGCCAAGAATGACCCGCTGCTGTGACTTTGCCAGGCAGCTGCACACTCTCGTTGTATCCTTGTAATACACACTTGCTGCTTGTTCCAGCTACACCCCAGGAGAACTCACCTGCCTGCCATGAAATTGAACACAGCACTGCATCCAATTAAAATTCTCTAGGAGTGCCGGGGGGGGGGATGTTTTTTGCACTGTTTGCAGAACATGTTTGTGTTAACAGTCCAGGTTTATGCCATGGAATCATGAAGGATCCTGATAGATCATCACTCCTATAGTTCAGTTTCCTATAAACAAAGGGTGCATTGTAATTAAAGCAAGCCTCATAGCTACTTGGCTTTTTCTTGGAAACTACCAGGTAAGGGATTTCACACCCTCTTAAAAACTCCATTGCTGAGGTTTTTTTTAGCTCGGGGGTGGCCCAGGTGGTAAAATGAGCCCCTACTCAAGTTCTAACCAGCCCCCTTCAATATTTTTCACTTCCTTGGAACTGCACTCACTTTATTCACGTTTACTAGCTTGGTTGATTTACTGGAATGCTTGTGACTCCTTCTGTTGCATCCTAGCTCGTGGAAGTCTTTCTGCATTTGCTTTTCCTTTTCCATTTGAAGCACTGAAATAGTCCAATGTTACATGCTGAACTTTCATGCATCAGTGCTTGTGTCAGAGCACCAACCCACAGTGGGCAACGTCAGGCAAGATTCAGCCTGCACACTGTCACCCAGATGTGGGTGGAAAATGCCAGGAGACCAGTCGTACCAAACTACCTTGCACAATAGGTCACAGTGGATCAGGTGATACTCTCTGACCCACTGGGAAAGCTTCCAGGTCCGGCTTGCTGAGATCTGCTCTTGCCATACACAGGTCTGCCTCTGTCCCAAAGCTCAGTCTGATTGCCTAGGAAAAATGTTTTGGATGGTCCCAGGGTGTTAGATACCTTCATGTAAATCCCTACTTGGAGAGCCTTAAGGGTTGATGTGTGTGTGGATCAAGGTTTGTGTTTTCTTGTTCATGTTTTCTTCTCCATTGGAAGAGAAGCTGGGACTTCACTGATTTCTCTTAATATTTATTTCAAGTGGGTATCTATCAATCTATCTATCTATCTATCTATCTATCTATCTATATCTATCATCTATCTATCTATCTATCTATCTATCTATCATCTATCATCTATCTATTTATCAAAGCTGGCAGGCTGACTGTGACAATAATAGAAATATGATTTTGACATAAATT